CCAGGCGAGCGCGCTACCGCTTGAGCCACATCCCCAGCCCCAATTTGGTGTAAATTTGATATGTTTGTTCAATGAGTTTGTAGAGTAGGAATGAGAGGATAGTGGGGAAGACTAATTTTTCACCTGTTTTTTGTTTTTTCATGACTACTTTTGATTTTTTATATTAGGGAGAAGTAATAGCACTAGACAAAATATCCAACAAAATAGAAAAAATCAAGCAGAATGCTTCATTATTTGGATTGAACTCCATCAAGGCATATTGCTTTGATGGAACAAAGGCACTTAAACTTGATATGATTGAGAACATAGAAGGTGAGTTAAATTTTGTTACTTTTAATGAGCAAATTGTAATTGCATTTTTTTTTTGTACCAGGGATTAAACCCAGTGGTGCTTAACCACCAACCCACATCCCCAGCAGCCCCCTCTTTTAAAATTAATTATTTTTTCTTAATTATGTATATATGATAGCAGATTGCATTTTGATTCATTGTACACAATTGCAGCTCAACTTTACATTTCTATGGTTGTATACGATATAGCGTGTACAACCATATATGTTCATTATATGTTCACTCATATATGTACCTAGGACAATAATATCCATCTCATTACACCGTCTTTCCTGCCCCCATGTATCCTCCCTACCCTTTGCCCAATCAAAGTCCCTCCATTTTTCCCATGCCTCCTCCTCCCTCATTATGGATCAGTATCTACTTATCAGAGAGAACAGTTGGCCTTTGGTTTGGGGGGACTGGCTTACTTTGCTTAGCATAATAATCTCCATCTCCTTTCATTTACCTGCAAATCCCATAATTTTATTCTCTTTTATTGTTGAGTAATATTCCATTGTGTATATACCACAGTTTCTTTATCTATTGAAGGGCATCTAGGTTGCTTCCACAGTTTAGCTACTGAGAATTGAGCTGCTATGAACATTGACGTGGCTGTGTTACTATAGTATGTCGATTTTAAGTCCTTTGTATATAGACCCAGGAGTGGGATAGCTGGGTCAAATGGTAGTTCCATTCCCAGTTTTCTAAGGAATCTTCATACTGCTCTCCTGCTTGGTTGCACCACTTTGCAGTCCCACCAGCAATGTATGAGTGTGCCTTTTCCCCCACATCCCCGCCAACATTTATCGTTGTCTGTATTCTTGATAGCTGCTATTCTGACTGGCATGAGATGAAACTGGAAATCTATATGCAGCAAAATGAAAATAAACCCCTGTCTCTCACCATGCACAAAATTTGACACAAAGTAGATTAAAAACCTAGTAATTAGTCCAGAGACCCTGCGCCTAATAGAGGAAAAAAGTAGGCCCAGATCTTCATGATGTTGGATTAGGCCCCAACTTCTATAATAAGATTCCTAAAGCACAAGAAATAAAATCAACAATAAATGGGATGAACTCAAACCAAAAGCTTCTTCTCAGTGAAAGAACAATGAGGTGAACAGAGAGCGTACATTTTGGGAGGAAATTTTTGCCACACACACATCAAATAGAGCACTACTCTCCAGGATATATGAAGAACTGAAAAAACTTAATGCAAAAACAACAACAGCAACAACAACAAAACCAAATAACCTAATCAATAAATGGGCTAAGGGAGCTGAACAGACACTTCTCACAAGAAGATATACACTCAATCAATAAATATATGAAAAAATGTTCAACATCTCTAGTAATTAGAGAAATGCAAATCAAAACTACTCTGATTTTATTCTAGCCCCATTTTATATTTTATTAGAGACAGGGTCTTGCCAAGTTGCTTAGGGCCTCACTAAGTTGCTGAGGCTGGCTTTGAACTTGGGATCCTCCTGCCTCAGCCTCCTGAGTCACGGGGATTACAGGCATGCACCACCATGTCCAGTTGTATTGTTTTGATATATGTCTAAATGTGGAATGATCAAAGCAAGCAAATTAACATATCTGTCAATTCATTTATTTTTTGTTATAAGATGAAATTCTCAGCAATTTTGAAAAAAAGTATATATACACACACGTATTACTGTAGTAACGATGCTGTGCAGTAGATACAAAAAACCTGTTCCTCCTATTTAGCTGAAAGTGTATACTTTTTGAACAGTATCTCCCCAGCCCCTCCTCACTACCTGAGTCTCTGGACCACTATTCTATTCTACTTCTGTGAGTTTGACTTTTTAAATATTCCATACATGAGTGAAATCGTGCTGTATTTGTCTTTTGGTGCCTTGGTTATTTCACTTAACATAATGTACTCCATATTCATTCATATTGTCACAAATGACAGTTTCCTTTTTTTATTTTTTAAGACTAAATAGCATTCTATTGTGTATATACCTTATTTGTTTTATCCATTTATGTGTCAGTGGACACTTGGTTGACTCCATGTCTTAGCTGTTGTGAATAGTGATGCAGTGAGCTTGGGAGTGCAGATATCTTTATGACATTAATCTCAGTTCTTTTGCATATATTCTCAGTGAGGGGATTGCTAGATCATAGTAGTTTCATTATGTAGGTTTTTTTAAAGAACTGGACCACTCTCCATAATGGCTGCACTATACGTTTCTGATCAAAAGCATGCCAGTGTTCCTTTTTGTCCATGCTCTCACCAAGTTATCTTTTGTTCTTTTGTTAGTAGCCTCCTGTCAAATGTGAACTGATAAATTTCATTATGGATTTTATTTGCATTTCCCTGATTAGTGATGTTAAGCATTTTTTCATACATCTGTTAGCCATATCTTCTTTTGAAAAATGTGTATTCTAGTTATTTGCCCATTTTTAAATTGATCTCTTGCTTTAAATTTGAGTTTCTTATGTATTATGGATTATTAAGCCTTTATCAGATATGTGGTTTAAAGATATTTTCTCCCATTATGTGGTTTTTCTCTTCACATTTTTTCCTTTGCTGTACAGAAGCTTTTTAGTTTCATGTAATCGTATTTGTCTGTTTTTGTTATTGTTGCTTGTGCTTTGAGACGTATGTAAAAAATAATCACCTACCAATGTCATGGAATTTTTCTTCTATTATTTTACATTTCCAGGTCTTTAATCAATTTGGAGTTATTTTTAAACATGGCTTTATATAAGGATACAATTTTGTGTATGTGGATAGCCAGGGTTTTTTTTGGTGCCATTTATCTAAGGTACTATTGTGTATTCTTACCATCTTTGTTGAAAATCAGTTTTCTGTGAATGCATAGATTTATCCTCAAACTTTTTCATACCATTGATCATTATGTGTATTTTTGTGACAGTACCGTGCTGTTTTGATTATTGTAGCTTTGTACTATAAATGTAGCAGGTAGTATCATTCTCCTACCTTTGTTCTTTTTGCTCAAGATTGTTTGGCTGTATTATTTTAAGGTTCATAATAATTTTAAAATTGTTTTTTCTATGTCTGTGAAAAAGGACATTGAAATTTTGAGGAGGATGCATTGATTCTATACATAGCTTTCGGTGGTGTGGACATTTCAACAATATTAAGTTTTCTAATGCTCAGACAATGCACACCTTTTTGTCTTTGAATTTCTTTCCTTAGTGCTTTGTAAAAGTTTTTTGTATATAGATCTTCTTTGCAGTTACATTTTCTTTTGTGTATTTTATTCTTTTGTTTTTGTAAGTGAGGTTTTTTTTTTTGTTTATGAGAAGTGTTTAATGTATGGAAACACTACTGATTTTTTAATGTGGCTTTTATATCCTGCAACTTACTGAATTTGTTTATCAGTTCTAATGTTTTCTGGTGGAATCTTTAAAGTTTTCCATATATGATCATGTCATTAGCAAACAGATAATTTCACTTCTTCTTTTCCTGTTAGGGTGCCTTTTATATCTGTATTTTGCCTAATTGCTGTGGTTAGGACTTCTAATTCTGTGTTAAGAAGAAGAGGTAAGAGTGGTCTTCCTTATTCCTGATCTCACAGGGAAATTATTTTTTAACTTTTTCCCATTGATTGTGATGCTAATTGTGGGCTTATTGTGTAAGGTTCTTCCTTTTTTTACCTATTTTATTGAGAGTTCTTAATCATGAAAGGATATTGAATTTTTGTCCTATGCTTTATCTGCCTCCATAAGATGATTATAGGGTTTTTGCCCTTCATTTTATCACATTAACTGACTTATGTATATAAATCATATTTGTATTCCTGAAATAAAATCCCACTTGATCATTTTGAGTGATCTTTTCAATGTATTGCTAGATTTTTATTACTTTTTTTGAGGATTTTTATATCCATGTTCAGCAGGGATATTGAAGTAATTTTTTAATTTTCTTGTGGTATCCTTGTCTGACTTTGACCTCAGGGTAATGTTGGCCTTATAAGTTTGGAAGAATTTCAAGATTTTGAAAAGTTTGGGAAGTACTGGTGTGAGTTCTTCTCTAAATGATTAGTAGAATTTATCAATGAAGCCATCAGGTCATGAACTTTTCTTTTACTGATTGAATCTCATTACTCCATCTGATATTCAGATGTTCTTTTCATGATTTAATCTTGGTGGGTTTGTATGTAGGAATTTTTCTTTTAGGTTATTCAGTTTGTGGGTGTGTAGTCATTTGTAGTAATAGTTTATGATCCTTTCTATTTCTCTGGTATTGGTATTCATGATTTTATTTTCATCTTTTCACTTTCAGTGGGTTTCCTTAAAGATGAAGTCAGTGTCTTATAGGGAGCATGTATAATTGGGTGTTTTTAAGATCATTTTACCGCTCTGTCTTTTATTTGACAAATTTTATCCATTTGTGTTCAAAATCATTATTGATTGGTAAGGACTTAGATGTCATTTTGTACTTTACTGAATTTGTTTGATGTCCTTTGTTCTTCCTCTTTTGATGTCCTTTTTTCTTTCTTTTTTTTTTTTTTTTTTTTTTTTTTTTTGGTAGTGCTAGGGATTGAACCCCAGGCCTTGTGCAGGTGAGGCAAGCACTCTACAACTGAGCTATATCTCCAGCCCTGGTACCTTTTTCTAGTGGCATGTTTTGATTCCTATTTTTTTTTTATCTTGTTTGTGTACTGCAGTTTTTTGTTGTTGTTTTTGTTTGTTTGTTTGTGTTGGTCATGAGCCTTTGGTTAAATGTCTCATATTTATAATAGGCTATTTTAAGCTACTAATAACTGAAATTAACATTTTAAAAAACTAAGATTTTTTACTTTATTCTCCCCACATTTTATACTTTTATTGTCATAATTAATGTATTTTATATTGTGTATCCTTACCAATTACTGTAACTTTACTTTTTTTTTTTTGTACTAGGGATTAGAAACCAGGGGCACTGAGCCACATCTCTAGCCCTTTTTATTATTTTGAAACAGGGTCTTTCTAAGTTACTTAGGGCTTTGATAAGTTGCGGAGGCTGGCTTTGAACTAGCAATCCTCCTATTTTTCATAGCATTACCTTTTAACCTTCTAAAGATAGTGATTTACATACAATCATTATAAATGAGTATTCTGTATTTGATTATTATATTTATGAGTGGGTTTTGTACTTTCATATTTTTTCTCTCTACTAATTAGCATCATTTATTTTTTCTACTCAGAGAGCTCCCGTTAAGCTAGATCTGGTGGTGAACTCTCAGCTTTTGATTGGAACAATTTTGAATCTTCATTTCTGAAGGACAGTTTTGCTGAGAAGAGTATTCTTTGTTTTTTGTTTTTGTTTTAACTTCAACATTTAGAATATATCATTTTTTAGGTTTGTAGTTTCTGCTAGTAAGTCTGTTGCTAGCCTATTGGAACTTCCTTATATGTGATATGCTTCTTTTGCTGCTTTCAAGATGATCTTTTTGTCTTGTATTTTTGATAATTTGTATGTCTTGGTGCTGTTTTGTTTGGGTTGAATTTGATTGGTACACCTTGACTTTCCTATACCTTTTATGTTTTCCCCCCAATTTGGAAATTTTTGTGTGTTTTTTTTTTTTTTAATAAACTTTCTGACATTTTTGACTCTTTTCCTTCTAGAACTGCTATAATTAGAAAATGTGATCTTTGGGGCCTTTGCTGAATGTTCTGTAAGATTTTTTCATTCCTTGCATTCCTTTTCCCCCCTGACTTTGTATATTTAAATATTTCTTTTTTGAGTTCACACATTCTTTCTTCTGCTTGATCACTTCCCGCTTTTGACATTATATCATTTTTCCTTTTGTTCATTGTATGTTTTAGCTTCAGAATTTGATTTTCTGATTTTTTGTTTTGTTTTGTTGTTGGTGGTGGTGGTGGTACTGGGGATTTAATTCAGGGGCACTCAACCACTGAGCCACATTCCTGGCACTGTGATAGACTTGGAGCCTGAGTATTCAGGCACCAACTAGTTGCTGATACTGGAATAGGATTAGAGTTTGGATTATAGGGTCTGGCCTAGTAATGAGTCAGGCCCATACTCTGTATCTGTAGGATTGGACCTGGATCCTGTGTCTGAGAGGTTGGCCTGGAACTTGAGTCTTTATGAATGTAAAGCTTAGTCCATTGGGTCCAGCCTGGCTACAGTGTTTATTGGGGCCGGCTTGAATTTAGAATCTGCTAGAACAGGCCTGGACCCTGGTTCTAATATACTAGGTATTGTGACAGGTATGGATCTTGAATTTGTGGGTGCCAATCTGGCACCTGGGATTAGGATATTTGCCCTATTTGTACCTAGAACTATGGTGACTGTGATCCCGAAGGCTGCCTGGAGTCTAGGTATATATAGGTAGTCTTCTAGTGACTGGATCCTTAAGGGTTTTCCTGGGCCCTAGGACCATAGAAGCCTGAGAACCTGGATCCTCAGGGATACTCCTAGGGTCCGGTTTCTAATATAGCACTGGAGAATACTGGAGCAAGCTTGAAGTGTGGGACCACATAGGCTGGCCTGGGGGATGGTGCTATTGGGGTCTGCTCCTTCTGGATGTTACTGGGGTGGGCCTGTTTATTGAAATCTGAGGTGAAATGCTATTGCCTTACTTCCCTCCTCCTTCCAAGCAAAGGATATTTCTCTCCAGGTTGTGCTGCCTGGGATTGAAGGAGAGGCAATGTGAGTAATGTAAAATTGTCCTTCTTACCTTCTTATAAATGAGTCTTATTTCTGTACTATACTCAGGTGCTATAATCTCTTACCTGCTTGCTTTTCTTTTGTAAAGGTATTTTCTGGTGAATAATTGTTCAAATTGATGTTTCAAGGTATGGGCATAAGTGCACTAAAACCTTATTCCACCATCTTGCTGACATCCAGCCTTGCATCTATATTACTTATGATGTCACTTGCTTTTAGTGTGAAGAACTTCCATGAGTATTTCTTAAGATAGTGGTGCCACCAACAAATAACATTTTTTTTTCCTGGAAGTATCTCTATTACACCATTATTTAAAAAATAATTGTGTAAAACATAAGGTATTTGATTACCTGAGGATATTTTCTTTCTGCACTTTGAATTTGTTATCTTAGCATCTTTTGACTTTGGTTGTCCCTGATGAGGAATCAGCTATTAATCTTAGTGCAGTTCTGTAGCATTTAACAAATCATTTTTCTCTTGTTGCTATTAAGATTTCTCTCTTTGCTATTGACTCTGAACATTTTTATAATAATATGTTTTGCTGTGGATCTTTTTGCATTTTTCCTACTGAGAGTTAGTTCATCTCTTTGGATGTATATACTGAAAACTATTCAGATTTGATAGAAAAAAATTCAGTCATAATTGTCTAAAAATTTCTTAATATATGCTGGAGCAGAGCAGAAATACATCAAATAGATCTTGGTGTATTTATCTGGTTTTATAATGGAGATTATTTTAAAACATGAAAGCAGCAATACAACACAATAATGAAGACACATTTACTACCCAGCATTTATCTATGCATGTAAAAAAGGACTAATGTAACAGATTGTGAAAAAAAAATTATAAAATATTTAATAGAGGAAATATTAATGGATGTACAAAGAGCTACTCTAACCAATGAGAAAAAGATAGTCTCAATAGATAAAGAGTAAGCAAAGGGTACCCACAAAAAAAGAAAAAGTCACAAATGGCCAATAAAGTAAAAATCACCTTTGAGGATTTGGGGAAACAAATACATTCATGATAATGAAAATGTAAGTGGTATAATATTTCCAGAGGATTTTACCAGTATGTGTCAAAAATCCCAAATAATAATTTCTTTGAGCAGAATTTCTTCTAAGACAATAGGTAAGAAAGCAAGAGGTAGTAGTAGATGGAAATGAGTTAAATTGATAATTGTTTGTATCTAATAGAGCTTTGCAATCAGAAAAGCAGAGAGTGAGATTTAGAATATTACTGTGGGTCCTGTAGGATCAGCTAGCTATAACTAAAAGCAATCAATAGCAGGTAGGTAAATAAAATGGTCTGTTTTTATATTTGTTAAAGACTTTCTCCAGTAACAGTAAATAGATCAGAAATTGGAATGGAAAAGTTATTCAAGTGAATGCAAAGGGAACCTTGATGAATCCAAGGAGGGTAATGACTCATCCTAGATCTTAGCCATACTGATGGCCACAGACAAAAGGAGGCCAAAGAACAACAGAACTAGAACCGGGATGTTTGATTACAATTCAACAGGCTCTCTTTTCTTCTGGAGCTGTCTGCTGTAGGAATTAGCAAGATAACTGTCAGTTTCCAGAATTAGTTAGAATTAATTCCAAGTCCTAGGTTTGATAAATAGTGGCTTCTAATGTTAGGGTACGGGGTATCATTTGATTAAACCTAGATCCATATGATATTAACAGAATAATTAGACACTATAATAACTATGTTTTTAACCTTTCTACAAAGTCAAATCTACATTAAATATAAGTAGTAGGTTAACCAGGTGTACTTGATTAAAGGGAGAAATTGTTTCTAGTATTTTTTCTTCTGGATTATAATTTGTAAATTCCTGATCATCACTTTTTATATTAAAGAGTTTTCTATTGAACACCAATATAGAAGATAACAAGTAACATTTACAATTCTCTCTGTAGGAGCACCTCCATTCTTACCAGAATCTTTTGACCGAATTCTCCTTGATGCACCTTGTAGTGGAATGGGACAGAGACCAAACATGGCTTGTACTTGGACTTTAAAGGAAATAACATCGTATCAACCGCTACAGCGAAAACTCTTTTCTGTGGTATGGGATGCTCCTTTGCTGTAATGGAAGTTGAACATCACTAGTTAAACATAGAAAGCATTAGGAAAATGTTTATAGCAGCAGTTTTCACTGTAATCAAAAAGTGGAAACAAGCCAGATGCGGTGGCGCACACTTGTAATCCCAGCGGCTTGGGAGACTGAGACAGGAGGATAATGAGTTCAAAGCCAGCCTCAGCAACATCGAGGCACTAAGCAACTCTAAATAAAGTACAAAATAGGGCTGGAGTTGTGGCTCAGTGGTTGAGTACCCCTTAGTTCAATCCCTGATACCTCCCCCACCCCAACCCCAAACGTGGAAACAACTCAAGAGTCATAAGCAAATAAAAATTTGGTATAACTGTATGTTGAATATTATTTAGCCTTAACAAGGAATGAAATTCTGATATATGCTATAGTAAGTTTGGATCTTGATGATATTATGCTAAGTAAAATAAGCCAGACACAAAAGAAAAAATTTTTTGCATGATTCTGCTTATATTAGGGCATTGGAATAAGTAGATCTAAAAAACCAAAGTTGACCAGGGAGTAAGACAGTGGGAGGATGGGGAGATACTGTCTAATGGTTATAGAATTTCTGTTTGGGATGATGGCAAAAGTTCAAAAGATGAATAGTAATGATGGCTCTACAAATGTTCTTTTTTTAAAATATTTTTTATTTGTAGATGGACCTTTATTTTATTTATTTGTATGTGGTGCTGAGAATCGAACCCATTGCCTCACACATGCTAGGCAAGCACACTACCACTGAGCCACTATCCCAGTCCCCTGTACAAATGTTCTTAATGCCATTGAATCATATATGTAAAAATGATTAAAAGGGTCAATTTTATGTATATTTTACTATGTATAAGGCAAAGACTAAAAAGAGCTCATTTTAAATATAGGGCTCTTTTTTATGTTGACTCATCTTTTAAATACATAGGCAGTTTCTTTGCTGTGACATCAGTGAATTCCAAACATCTTGATCTATCTTTGGAAAAAGCAAATTTGCTAAGTTGTTCCTATAGTTACTAATTTTTCACATGTAGTTACCTGTTGATGTGAAGAATCTGATGTAAATTATTCTTTTCATAGCCTGGGTCATTTTTATCATACAAAAAGCAGGAAGTCTACTAGGGGCAAATGTATTAATTAAAAAATGGGAAGAACAGTGTCTAGTGTAAAATGTAGAAAAAACATAAGAAATGCAAATTTATCTGATCTCCAGCGTGTTTCAAAAGAAGCCTAGGTAGACTATTTGAGAATTTGTCATTCTTGGAAAAATGACTTAATGGATTTTTACAAAGTATAGACAACATTTGATCAAAGATGACTTCATTATTTCCTCTCAGCCCTCTAAGTATAAATACACCAATGTAGCACTCTTTGTGGATTAGATAACTATTTCAGAGACCACATCCTTGGCTTTAAAACAGAAAAAGCTTACCTAATGCAGCACAATTTGGTTATTATAGGTTTTAACGAGAAAATCTGTTTAAAGTATTTCACATAATACCTGGCACAGAATAATAAAGTTTAAATTTTCCAGTGAAGAAAACAGTAGTATATGTCCTGTGTGTGTGTTCTTTTTTTTTTGTACTGGGGATTGAACTCAGGTGCTTAAACCACTGAATCAGCTCCCCACACCTTTTTAGTATTTTATTTTAGAGACAGGGTCTTGCTGAGTGGCTCAGAATCTCTCTTAAGTGCTGAGGCTGGTTTTGAATTCGTGATGCTCCTGCCTCAGCTTCCCTGAGCTGCTGGTATTACAAGCCTATGCCACCAGGCCTGGCTATGTTCTGTGCTTTTAAAAACAGTTTTTGCAAAAAGTTTTTAAAATAGAATCTGAAAAAATAAACTTTAGACAAATTCACTTTAGCATAACTTTATTTCTTGATTTGACAGATATTTACTGAGCACTTATTATATGCAAGATGCTATTGTGGATGTTGATGATACAGTAGAAAAGTTTCACTAAACCACACCCTTATTTCCTGGGGTTTCAAGTCTAATTGGAGAAGGAAATAAGTTTAATATATTATAAGACAGTAATGCTATGGCATTATGGAGCAAACTAAGGAAAGTAAGATGGGAGAGAAATGCTAGATTGTAATATTTGGGATTTTATGTGGGGTGGTCAAGAAGAGCTTTGCTGACAAGGTGACATGTAAACGAATATAAGATTGTAAAGGTGTGAACAATCTGAGAATTAGGAGAGCTTTCCTATGTGGTGCAGAGATCCTGCAGTGGGAGTCGCCCTTGCATGTTCCAGGAACAGCAGGAGGCCACCGTTTCTGAAGCAGAGTGAGCAAGGGTGAGAAGTGTACTTAGGGGGCATCAGAAAGACAACAAGAGACTTGTTGTCTGTATAGGGCCTTGAAGGCCTCCTTGAATTTGACTTTGATTCTTAAGTGATAATGGAGGACATTGGAAAGATTTAGGCTGCTAGGTGACAAGTTTAGAAGGCTGTGATAATGAGAATAGATGGTAGGAGAGCAGGGAAGGAAGCAGGTAGTTGAATTAGGAGACTATAACTGTGATGCAAGCAAGAGATAAAGAAGGTTGGGCCAGAATGACAGCAGGGGAAGTATCGAAGTGGCCAAATTCTTGATATTTTAAAAGTAGTACCAGTAGAGTTTGCTGATGGATGATGAACATGATAGAGGATAATCTATTCTATAAAGGATAATCTAAGGTTTCTAGTAGGTTTTAGAGGGTAAATAACAGTTCATTTCAGGACATGTCAGGGTTGATAGTAGCAATTCCAAGGAGGCAGATGAATATATGAGTACAAAATGCAGGAAGAAATTCTGGCCTAAAAATGTCAATTTGTGCAATTTGGGAGTGTTTGACCTATAATTGGTATCTAAAGACATGAAAGTGAGTGAGAGTGTTGGTCCATATAGGGTATGGGAGCTCCAAAGTAATGCATCTAGCCTGGAATAAAAGTATTTCATGCTTAATAATATGCCATAGAGAACATAATTTTAATTCTCCCCAATACTTGAAAAATATTGTACCTTAAGGCTATATAATCTTTTCAACTATTTCTGTGGCTTGATGGTATGCCTGGTCTGACCATAGATTTCTTTAGGCGGTTCAGTTGTTGAAGCCAGGGGGTGTGCTAGTTTATAGCACATGCACTATAACATTGGCAGAAAATGAAGAACAAGTTGCCTGGGCCCTCAAAATGTTTCCTTGCCTTCAGCTTCAACCCCAGGTAAGAGTAATTTTATTTTATTCTCTCTGTAATCTCATGAATCACAGAAAATGAAGTGCAGTGTGTCATATGAGGAAACATGTCAAGTAAAACTTCTGACTCAGATATCATCATAAACAAGAATGTCTCTATTTAGGTCCATTTTAGATACCCCATAAGGAAATTCCTTATTCAGATGACAGTTCTTCCCTGGCTTTTTACTTTGTCATGTCTTAAAATGGCACAGAGTTTGGGTGTAATTTTTGTTACATGTTTATTCTACTTATAGGTGTTGTTCTATTTTACTTGGCACTTTGTTTCCAGAAAGGCTTCCCTCCCCTTTCCAGTCCTATATTTTTGTTATGAAATTCATTAAGAGCATTTTTCTCATGTCAAATCATAGCCCATACTGACTTTACTGAGGGGTATCAAAAGAGCAACCAAGAGAGAGAAAAAAAAGTCATTCAGTATTATTGCTTCTTTATAATTTATTATATGAAAAATGTTAATTTTTAAATGTTTAGAGGTTTAGAGATCATAAAGCTGATTTTTATCTATTGCTTTTTTGATAATAGTATTCCATTTATTGAGTGGTCACTTTATGCAAGACACAATGCTACCTCTATGAAGTTTCAGAACTAAGTAAATGGGACAGAGCTGCATACAGTTTTATGGTTCTGTGAAGTTTAGACTTTTTGTAATTTCATGGTAATTGATAAGCATGTAGGACATGTTGGGTACTCTTGCATCAGATGACTATGTGTTATTATTTTCCCACATACTATATACAGAAAACAAAATTTACATTTCATAAAAGTGAAAGGCATTTATACACTTTTCTGTTCTTGGAAGATGTGGCAGGTACAACTTGATTTATCTTCTACCTTAAATTGTATCAGCCCTGCTTACTAATTACAGAGCATTTGTCCACATTTATTTGCTCCCAACAGGAACCACAGATTGGAGGAGAAGGAATGGTTGGAGCTGGCCTATCACTTGAACAATTGAAACAGCTGCAGCGATTTGATCCATCTGTTGTGCCATTACCGGACACTGACATTGATTCTCTCAGAGATGCCAGAATAGAAGACATGATTTGGCTGGCAAATAAGGATTGTATAGGATTTTTTATTGCAAAATTTCAAAAATGCAAAAGCACATTGGAAAAGGATCCACCGAAATGAAAATTCCAAACATTTGCTGCTGTTGGGTATTTTTTTTTCCCCCTTAGATTGTTGTCAAGCCAACTGAATGATGTCCTGGTAGCTATGGTAACAGAGAAAGCTGCCAGCAGTTTAACCAGAGATCTGAGAAAGAAAAAGTATGTGTGTTGGGGGAGGGGAGGCTGAAATTAAATTCTTGAGTTTATGAAATAATTTTTTCTCTGTATATTCAGTAGAATATAAATAAAAGGAGCTATGGATATCTGGAACATTTTCATGTAGGGTCTTAATTTATAAAGAATACTAGTTATATTTAGTATGAAAAAAGTGGATCAAACCAGTGGAATAAAATTAGCAATGTTTAATGTGGTTATTTAAAAAGTTGTTTTCTGTTCCCAGGTCCTAAGTAGTTGTTTCCTTAAGAATTCAGGGCCTGGGACATACAACATTTACCGTGTGCCAAGAACCAAGGGAAGTATTTTATCTTACTTTTTCTGCTTATTATTTGGTAAATCCTCTTTTAAATGAAGTTTGGCCTTTTCTAAATGATAGTTTTTAAACAAAAAAGTAAAATGAGTGTTTTCTTTGTGGGTAAAATAAATGAGAACATTTCACATTCTGGGTACCTTTATCATCTGTTGGACCACATTGTACAAGTTTTTAGAAAGTGCTTGGTAAGAATGAGAAAACCATTTTCTGACAACTGGTTGTCACAGCTGGATCTTGTTCTACTGAACATAACCAGTTTCACAGGAAACAGTCTCAGACAACTATGTTTCTGATCAAGACAAAAAAAGACCACTTCCTATAAAACTTGAATTCATGCAAAAAACAAGATCACCATTCAAACTGCATAAATGACCAAACATAGTTCTGTGGTGGCCAGAGCATCTACTTCTTTAAAAAAAAAAAAGGCTTGCTTCATTCTACCCAGGTGTTTTTGTGTGTGTTTTGGGGGATAGGGTGCTGGGGATTGAACCCAGGGCCTGGTGCATGCAGGGCAAGCACTGTACTACAGAATTATATCCCTCTACCCGGTTTTTAGGTAAACTCTAAAAATACTCAAGACCCAACCAGAGTTTAAAGGTTGTCTTATGTGTTAAATACATCAGACTATTTTGTTAGCTTTCATTCAAATCACTCAAATGTTACTGGGCCTTGGGTATAAGAAAGGAACTACTGGAAACAATTCCCTAATATTTGATTCTTTTTTTTCCCCTCATCAGTTCCTTTAGGAATTTCTCAAAACTACTTATTGTATCCATAATGATTGCAAGGTCTCTTGGATCAGGTAGGTAAGGTCTCTTCCTTGAACAAATCTTTCTTGGTCACACCCTTCTGAGTTCTCTTTGTGTATACCTCTGGTACCCATATCTTTTGCTCTCATGGCACCTAATACTTTTGTTTACCAGCCATGTCCTGAGCCCCACTCCCATGCTTAGGAAACATGTTGGAAATGGAGACCCCTTTTTTATTTTTAATTGAGTCATTGCCTCAGAGTAGATGGTTAATAGATGTTTACTGAGAAACAACTTATTTCAAGCTTTACAGGATTCAAATATGTGACCCCTGCACACTCCTCATTTGGCCTTGTGTCTAGTAGATGTTATTTGAAAAAACATTATTACTTGTGGTACTTCTGTAACAGGACTCCACATGCTCCCTCACATTTTAAATATTTCCTTTCATGCTGTCTGAAAAGCCTTAGCTGGGATGGTCATGGTAGAAGAGCAGTGTAGCAAACTTGTATGAACTTTGGATCAATACCAGTAACTATCAAAATATAACTAATACCGGTGAAATAGAATCTATTTGCATATTTAAAGCACTAAGAACAAATAATATTGTTGAAAGTTTTCCTTTAACCTCAGTGATTTTCAGTGGGTGTTTTTTCTTCAAATAATTTCAAATTGGAAAATATAACTGTTCAATTTTAAGGAACACAAAAATGTAAGGAAAATCAGAAATGTGGGGTAGAATGTATCTTTTAATATATTTTTTAAAATACTTGAATTCAACAGTATATTACTTTAAATCCTATCATATTTTACTTTAAATCACAAAATGAAGTACAAATAGTTAAAAATAAACTTTGGCAGAAATTAAAGTGTTTTCTCTAGCAATGCGACTCCTGTTTTTAATAAGAGCAGAGCATCTAAGACTAGTAGCAATTCATCACTGAGCAAAAGAAAAAGGATGAGAAATGAAATACATCATGAAGATGGATCTTCTTCTTAAAACGTAATCCCCAAATCATTGCACATATTAAGGCAGGAGGAAGATCACTCTGCTATAGCTCATATCTTAACAAATCCTTTACGTACTTTTATTATTATTTTAATCCAGGTTAAAGGAACATCAAGTAGTTAGCAGTGCTCCTAAGGAAAATGCTCCACAATGGGAATTGTTGTTGAATATGTAACAAGTTCTTAACTACAAAGATCATTCCTAAAATTGGCAATTAATACTACTACTAATTAACAGTGCAGAAGCCAGCTCTTTATTTGTTTTATATGAACGACTTTAAACCAGGTTTGTTGAACAGTTCAGTGTAGCTGACAGTGCATGTTTGTTTAACAGGAATGCATAGCAGACCATGTTAAAATGTGGCATTGTCCCAAAGTACAGTATGACTAAGACATCCTACATTTAGCAGCACCTTTTTGTAACAGTAACTTAAATAAGCAGTAGAGAAAAGCATAGGAAAAAATTGAAATGGATATGACAAAGACCAGTAAAGAACATTTCCAGCATTTTCTAGGTTGACTACAAAAATCATGATTGTATAAATGTATAGGTTAAGATTAAGCCTCTGCTGTGTGAAGACTAATTTTACATTCCACAAGTCAGTAAATATCCCATTGTCCTTGTGATTATTCTTCATTTATAGATGTACTACACACATTTATGCATATGCCCACTATACAGTTTTCACATAAATGCTGTATCAGAGTCTTCAATATATTTATTTAAGGAAAATTCTAATTTATACTAATGTGTTCCACAGTCAAGTGAGAAACTAAGAATCAGGGACAAAATTAAAAAGATGAAATCTATTAGCACTATTGATAGCAGCAGGAAAGGTAAATGCCAGTTACACTTCAAGAATTTAAGAATTCCAAAGTTGTTAATTGGGATGAACTAACGTAAGAAAGGAATAGATTGGTAATTAATATCTTAGTGTGTGTTTTAAAAGAAATTTAAATTGGAATATATTTTTTAATCATGTAAAGTTATGTCAAAACTAATGACTATATTCTGTAAGTTTTTATAAGCAGTACAGAAGACTAATTCTGAAATTTTTCACTTAGCTGGTAAAACTCCAGTATTCTTGGGTGTAGGGGAAATAATGCCCAAGAATATTTGGCAAGAACTTGGAATAATTAAGAAAGCAAAATAAATTACTATAATTATTATTGTTAAATAAATTAATGTACAGATCTGAAGTTAGGCAATTATAGATAGGCATTTTCCTGGGACAAGCTTCAAGTGCTAGGTATTTGCACACCTAATACTGTCTTAACACTTGAGAGACAGAATGTTTTAGCATTAGCAAAATAGCATTGGAAGCTCCTACAGCAGTATAATTGAGGCATGGAGATAGTGTCTTCTAGATTCCCCTTCAGAGTAGATGTATGAAAATATTAACATTTCATTCACTTCAAGTCACCCCATTTTGCCCTGATAACTTCTGAAGAGCAGAAACTTTGGTTGTAAGAAGCACTTCTGGGTTCTGACAGACAGTAAAACTATTCAAGTTGGTGGTGGGAGGAACGGTAGGTAACTAGGAGATAAACAACAAGATTAAAAGGCAAGGTTAGAAAATGAAGTGGGAGAAGTTATAAAAATTTATTTTCCTATGAAATACTTCCACAAGCTGTGTAAACGTTTCTTACTAAAACAAATACTCTAACACACAAAGATTGTATATTTCCAGTGAAACACTCACAGTAAAAGTTGCCTGTATTTTTACTCTCTAGGAGCAAAAATAAGGAGCCAGCAGATGAATGCTTTTCTAGTTACCTTTGGCAGCAAGCTTCCTCACCTTCCCTGACTTCTCAATGGATTATTAAAGCAACATATAGCACGATTAAGTACAAAGCCAGGTGAGAATTCTAGATAGCAGACTTTAGTTTCTTCGTTAGTTTTCAGCATCTCAAACATCTCAATCACTCGTGCACATTCTTACGTACAGACACATGCACACAGCGGGTTCCGGCTCATATACTCCAGTGCCGTGACTAGCTCCTAAGTATGTGTTTGTCACAATCTGGGTGAACTGTATGGAGTAGAACAATCTCTGGAGTTTGGTTATATTTACCATAATTTATGATTAAAATTATAAACTTACAAGGATGGTAGAACATTCAGAAATCAAACCTTTTTAAGTCAAGCAATCACACATATTTACATTATATACAGACTTTTTTTTAGAATGGGGAGAGGTGTCTAGACAACATTATTACAAATTTCCTGAATGTGGGCATTTCTGATCCCTGTAATTCATAAAGCAAATCTGCTGACTTGGCATTAAGACTCTAAAATAGTGTGATCAAACTGATATGTATATATTATATATAATAAGGTGTTTGCAGAAATAACATTTACAAACTGTCTATACAGTACACAGTACTAGTACATAGAAAATAGAATCTAACTTTATGATCCCCTTTGTATAAGGCAAGACTGAATCTGTCCCCAAATTTAGTCAGCCAGAGGTACAAGCAAGAAACAGTGGTCCATGAATGAATGAATATGCCCATCAGGTATCTGGGTATTAAAAATCTGGAGAACCAAGAAATTCCACTTTTTAATCTGTGCTGAATCTGGCTTGCTGGATGTACATCAACTACATTTCTTAAAACACCAACGTTGTCTGGACGGCAAAAGATTTTGTTCATGTGGCAGCTACCTCAAACAGGTTTTGAAGAGTCTAGTATATAACCAGAGAACTGCTGTACCAGGCCAGTTTATATAGCACTTCCAAAAGAAAATAATGGATATTAATACTCTATTTCATGCTATTGCTATTTAAGCAACAGCAATACAAAATATACAAGACAGATCACATGTGATTGCAATGTAGACCCCAAAGATTGTTTGAGGGGACTTGAGGGAGGGGGAGACAAAGGGCAAAAGTCATTGGCGGATGTAAACATCCCTATTCCACTCCCCGACATCATTCCGCTTTTTGGATATTACTTCTCCATCCTTGTCACAGTAGCGATCCTTGGATTTATGACGGCTTCGTTGTTTGTTGCACTCATTGTGGTCCTGCTCTCGGTCTGTGTCCCTCGAACGGTGCCGAGACTCCCTGTGTCTGTGGTCACTGCTCCCATGGGTCTCATCTCTGTGGTTATGGTCACGATGTGGGGCATAGTGGTCCACATGTTCATGGGAATAATCTTCCTTTGGCTCCACATAGGCAGAGTCTCGACTCTCCTGGGTTTCAGAGTCAAAAGTCTCTTGCCTGGAGAGCCCTCGACTCGTACCACTGCGATGGTTATGGTGTGTGGCAGAGGAGGAGGAGCGATGCTGGGATTTCTTGACTGGTTCCAAACAAGGTTCTTCTTCAGCTTGGGAAGCAGAACGGGCAGGAGCTGAGCGATCAGTCCTCTGATCACCTTGAGAACCCTGGCAGTGAAGGGAACATGCAGACATTAACCAAGGTGAGTGTGTAAAGAACTAAGATGCAAGGCCATTCAGGTGTAGTTCTTTTTACGTATCTGAAATGTTTAACCTAGGTATTAAAATTCCTTTGATAGTGTCACTAATAAGGTTTGTAACGATATTAAGCTGGACTTTGTTGTGTGTGGAAAAGCACACATACTTTTTTTTTATTTTAATGACTAAATGAAGGAGGGAGAAAGTTCTTATATATTGTAGTTCCAGTGCAGGTCTGAGGTTTTTCTATATGTGGGTATACACATAACTGCCTCTGTTGGAGTACATGTGAGTGGATTAAGAAAAAAATTATGAAGTGCTCAAATGGGACATGCCTGCACAAATCTCCAGGGGGGGGCGGGGAAGATATGTTCACTTGCCCTTATCATTCCAAGTCCACTGAGACAAGAGCAATTAAGGAACTTGCCCAGGGTTGTCCAGGTGGTCTTTTAGGATCACACAGTTAGTTTTAAAGTCTGTGGATGTTGTGTTCATAGTGCTTCTCTTCAGGTACACAACTTGGTGAACCTGAGTATCCAAGTGACTCACACTTCTTAGTTAGGATAGCATTAGTATAGTATACCATGGGAGTGGTGTCACCTTGGGCATCCCACTTTCTCTATACAAGATAACTCCCCTTACCTGTGAGTTAGAGGCTAGGGTGGGGCTCAGAGTTGAAGTGGCTAAGGTACGGCTAAGGAGAGGGTTGGGGAGGTTGCTGCTGGGAGGATGAGTGGCCTTCCAGTAGGCCTCCAGATAGTCAGCAAGGTGCTCACAAGCATCTTCAAGCTGGTTCTCATCCAGGATCACATCAAACAACTCCTGGGGAGGTAAATATTTAAATAACACACTAACCCAGGACTAAGTTCCCACCACCCTCCACCAACTAAGGAGGAAGAGACTGATAAACCTGTACCACTTGATTTGCTTATGTGTTCTTCTTTTATAAGCTAAGACAGCCAACAGAAATGTGGCATCTCAACTCCTTGTGTAGAACACTAAGTGAACAGGTGTCATAATATTTGGTAAGTATAATAGTAGGTTTATCAATAATGAAAAACAGTGAACTATGATAGGAGATATAAGAATGAAAATCTGAACAGTATAGGAAGAAGCCTGTTCTTGACACAGTGACTGCAGAAAGGCTTAACTGAGAAGTTAAAGAGGTAATACCAGGATGTGAAATTTGACAAAAGCTGCTGAAAGCACTCAAATTGGCATGATTCAAACTTCATAGTAGTTTGTAGAAAATACATGCCTCACTGTTAAAATTAACAAACATTTTTAAAAACCTTTAATATACTTCAAATCAACTTGATAACTTTGATAGCAGCACTTAATGGGGCAGGTAGAAGGGACTAGAAGAACTTTAATAGTTCCAAGGCAAATTATCCACTTAATGGATTAATAATTTGAATCTCCAGCCCAAAGAAATAGTTGGCTCACCATAGACTAACTTTTTGAACCTCGAGCCAAAATAAACTTTACCTTCTTTACGTTGCTATTTTTTCAGGTATTTTGGTCACAGTACTAAAAACTCCTTGGGCAGTTAAGAGTAGACAACTGGCTCCCTGTGATCAGAAGCGAATAATAAACCAACCCCAAAGAGACCCGTCTTACAAATCAACTATGAGGCTGCAGTCTTGTAGTTGATATTTAAGTGAGTATACCATAAAGATGCACATAGCATTTTGTAAGCCATGATCATTATCTGGCTTATTAATGTGATCCAGACAGTTTTTCTTTGGAAAGAATACCTCTGTAAACAATGAAGATTCTCTTCCCTGACAAGCATTTATTGCCTTTTCAATGAAATTCCAGGTCTGATCTCTTCAACTGGATTCTACCATATACAGACAAAACTTACTGGAGGGCACTGAGCCAGTTTATCTGCTGCTACCATCTGGACATTGAGGTGTTTAGCTTGGGATTTCCCTCGAGATTTTATTAACCTTTGTAAAACCTGTAAAAGAGACAAGTTTTCAACAGAGAAATCTCTTAACATTAGTGACTCCTTTATCTAGGGACTTTTTTATATATAACAAAGATGTTTATAAACAGACTGAGCTATAAAAGACAATCTCTACAAAGTCAGTATGCTAACATAAATCTCACTTGCATCTTTACATACCTGCATAGAGCTTACTGTGTCCTTTCTAGCCTAAGTTTTCAAACTGTTTGCTTCATGACCTCTTCAGGTTTTAAAAAAAAACTCTTGGGGGTTTTTGATTTTTTTTATGTGAAATGGAAATATTAATAAAACAGTTACAATTAAAATATTTTTTGTAGTTGTTGATCGACAGAGAGACTTTGTTCATTTATATGTGGTGCTAATGATAGAACCCAGTGCCTTACACATACCAGGCTCAGAAGCGCTCTGCCACAGCCCCTAAAACAGCTATAGTTTTTGTCATAGAATACAGTTATTCTGTATGCTTCTACAATGTATCATTTTGGTTGAAATAGGCAAGAAAAATTTAACCTACTACACAATGTAAAAGGAATATTTTAGTTGCACCCTTTTAGATAGCATCAAAGAATATCACCTAAAATTCAACAAGTCGTCTTGCCTAAAAGACTAGTTGACATGTATTATCTGAAACCATATCAATGAACTTCTCTCTCATTAAGTTCCACTGGTATGTCTGCAACATTTACTCATCATTTGGAAAATAATAGTTCACTGAGTTGATCAGATCTATCCAAAACTGTTGACATTTATATTGAATTAAAACATGATACATGTTATATGCTCTTTTGTAACAAATGCTGTTGTTCTCCTTAAAGTGATTGGCTTATTGTGCTCAAGAAAATATTGACTACATACAAACCGTATTCCATGGGGGGGAAAATGTAGCTAACTTTGCTTTCCAATTAGAACAGGCTATGCCAAACAGAAAACACGTTTTAGTAAAATCTCGTTATAGAAAATCTAGCAGCAGTGTCCTCAAATACTTAATTTTATTAAATTGTGGGTCTAGAGTCTGTGTAATGAAAATTAACTATAATAGCATGATGGTAATACAGTGACTGTTGGTGCTGTTTTACCCATATTTGCAAAAATGATGAAACGCAACTATCTTTAAGGTTTACCTCAAGTATCTGCTGAAAGTGTCTCAACCCACCAGGGCTCTATGGACCACACTTTAAGAATTACTGCTTTAACCCATTACAGTAGTGGTGTTTTGCTTATATCAATCATAAAAATTTTTCAACCTCCATACCCATCATAAAGGCATAGTCTGTTCTAATTGGAAAGCAAACATAAAACACATTTTAGTAAAATCTGGTTATAGAGCTAAGCTAACAGCAGCAATCCTCCTTACCTTAGGAGACGAAATCTTTACATACACTATGATAGGGGCCAAAGATGTTTTACTGAGTTGAGCTGGATGATTAATAGTATCCGCATCAAGAACTACCAGTTGCAATGTTCTTGCAAGTTCAAAGATCCTTTCGATTTCACTCTGAACTTCCGCTGTAAAAGGGTAAGCAGAGTTCAGTTATTTAAAAATGTCATTTTAAATGGTATATTATTTCTTCAACAGAAAGGTCAGATCAGCCAGTTTGTGTTTATAGGCAGCACAATTTTGATCAGTTATTTTTTGAAAAGAGCTATTTCTTTATAATACCTTTAGAATTTCTAAAATTTGCTTCAGCATAATACTGAGAGCCAAATGTTTTCGCTCTCTGCTGACTCATTTTTCATTCTGTGGAATCATAAAAATATTTTATCTTTATTTCTAACCACTTCACCCAAGCAGTCATTGCATGAGCTTATGTACATTTCTGTCCCCTACGATCATGCTGTTGAGATTTTATTAGCAAGCTGAACCACATGAAAGGTACCTATTACAAACTGTCCCCATAACAAGAAATGGTCCTGCAACATTCCTGGTTTATAAGGGCAGTTATCTATTAGCTTAGATTTTTGAGTGCTTCTTCTATCACCAAACATCTAAAAATCTACTTGAGGAGCTGGGGATAAAGCTCAGTTGGTAGAGTGCTTGCCTTGCATGCATGAGGCCCTGGATTCCATCCCCAGCACCATAAAACAAACAAAAGACCTACTTGAACTCCAAGAAAATTTCATTCAGCTCATCTACCACTCTATGATCTTTCCAAAGATTCTAAAACCTGTGATGATGAAAATATCCATGCTGCCTAGTATGGTAGCCTAGCTGCAGGGCACTTAAAATATAGCTATTATGTATAAGCAACTGAATTTTTAAAAGTTTGATTTTAATAATTAGCCAGAAGCTGCTAGACTGCATAGGCCTATAAAGTATAACTTGTAGTTTTCACTACAATTGGAAGATCAATTCTATAAGACTCCTTTAAGCCAGCAAACTTGGTTCTATGAATGCTTTTGATTCCTCTTATGCATCTGCATTCATACCAGAAGATTCCTAGAAATAATTTTAACTGGCATATTATTCCAGAAAAGCAAGTCATTAATCATCTGGCCTCACAGTGTTATAAATAGAGACCTCTTATTTACCTGAACTTCTTTAAGGAACCAGGGCTCAACATAATAGCTTTAAAATAATATTTGGTGACATACTGCCCACAATAAGGTCTTGCTAAAAGAAAAAAAATACACATTGGACTTCCAAATTAACTAGTTTGTAAGAAACAGATGCATATAAATTATCTCAGTGTAATACAGTTAGGAAAATTTTTACTCTCAGTGCCTTACAGAATAAGTGACAAGGAAAAGATTTATGCAAACCTGAGATTTAAGAGATCTGTGAACTATGATGTATAGATTTCATTTGAATCCTGATTTAGTCAAGTAGTAATTATAATGCACAAATGAAGAAACTCAGCAAATTATGTTTGAGATTTGCTTCTAAATAATCTAGGGATGGTTGTTGATGGAAGAAGAGGCAGGACTATAAATGAAACAGGAATAGTGTCTTTTGTTTTGCAGCTACTTGAGAAAAGTGTTCCTGGCATGCTAAATACTACATCCATCATTCTGCTAAAATGTCACTTCCTCAGTGAGGCCTTCACACTATAAAATTATACCTTCCTTCTCAGCTTAACTCTACTCCCTGGCCTGGTACTACTTCAGGACTGATCATCTATTGACTAATGAATGGTCTGTAAGTTTTTGGCCTTGTCTCTCCCATGAGACAAAAATCCCTAAGACCAAGAACTTTGTATCCTTCTATGTCTCTGGCACTTAGAATAATGCCTATCACATGGTTGGTTCTCAAGTATTTATTAAATGAATGGATACAAATCTCTACATGGTTCCCTAATACCTTAAGCTCCAAGCTCCTTAATATTTTACCTTTACCTCTTTCTAGTGTCACCTTCCACCTGTCCCTTCTTTCAATGATACATGTTTTTTTTTTAATTTTTTTTAGTTGTTGATGGACCTTTATTTTTATTTCTTTATATGCGATGCTGAGAATTGAACCCAGTGTCTCACACATACTAGGCAAGCCCTCTACCACTGACCTACTTTTTTCTTGACTAAAGTACCATGCATGCTTCAAGTCTCAGCTCAGACCAGCTTCTTAGAAAACCTTCCCTTATGGCTTTTGTCCTCTACTCTATTGAGCTCTTATGTTTATCTTATTGCCATTAAGCTCTTAGGAGGAAGGGCTTTATCTAAGTCATCTTTTTATTTGACTCTTCAACATTGTATTGAATTAGATACCATTTAAAAATAATGTGTACACAATAGTTTTAGAAAGCGATGACAATCTAAATGCATCTAATTAATTCAATAGTAAGTCTAATTAGTTAACTAGCAGTTGAATCTATGAAATGATCATTTTATAACAATTCCTGTGAGCACTCAATATTGAGAGTAGTTGTCAGATAAGGACTCATCAGTGAAGAATTGTTTGGTAAGGGATAAAACAGTTTTATAAAGTACCATAACTAACCTTTGATTTCTAGTAGTTTTTCTACTTACATAATCTTACATCAGACTATACTAAAAACTTCTCTGTTAAAAGCTAGCATCTCAAAGAATTTATTTAATATATAAATGAAAAAGAACTAACTAAAGGTTAAGTATCATACAACCCTTGGAAAATTTACTTTATAAAAATATAAACCCAACAATCTAGTAAGTTAAATGTGTAACAGTGATTAAGCACATATTTCAAAGAGAAGAAATAGTTGGGAAAGGTCTGAATTTAATCAGTATAGGTTAATAAGCAATTTTCAGAACTACTCTGTAAACAAATTAACTAAAACCCCTATACTTTTTTTTACAAATAAAACAGATATTGGTATCAGTGGAGAATAGCCCTGAATTTACTTCCTCATTCTCATCATGTACACAAATTACATTATTCTGAATATGATTTCATTATTGATAATTCAAATTCTCAGCTCCTATTAGTGAAAACAAACCACAACCAAAACATCAGTACTGATAGTTTCAAGTTAAAAATTCCACGTGCTAACAAATCTTTCCACATAATAAAATGAAGATTGTACCACTAGCTACTGACAACACATGCTCCTTTGTTTGTGAAGTACATGGAAGCATCATCTGGCTAGATCTCTTCATTGCCATTCTTAGGAGAGCAATGTTCACATAGCTTCAGCTCATCAGTATTGCAGACTTACCTAAGCTTGATCTTGTGTTGGATCTTTCTATTATTGCATGCTTACTGGGATTGTTTAATACTGAGCGTTTGGCAAGGGAAATGTCAGCAGTGACCCTTGTGATAGATATCCTGTTGGAGAAAAAAGTAACAAAAGACCCTAAGGTTGTTAATCTTATAAAAGGGAATTGAAATATATGCCCAAAATTCATCCCAAGAATGAAATATATATAATGACCATATTTTCTAACCATATGTTAGGATACTTCATTGTACTTTTTTGCTTATCCTGTACTTGCCTTACTTAGCATTTATTGGTTGTATACAAGTGCCATATATGTACTAAGCACTTTACATGAATTTTCTGATTAAATTATTCCAAAAACTTTTAGGAGAAGTTTAGTGGGTATTTACTAAATATACAGATTTAAACCCAGACTTCTGAGCCCTATATTCTTAGGCCCTGCACAATATATAATCATGAAAAATAAGATCAAGGCAAATCTGATCTTTCTTCTAGTGGCAGAGATGAAGAATAAAGCAATGAAAGATTATGATGATTATTGTGAAGAGAATTTATAAGGTATTATTATATTGAGTGAATTGAGTGGGTTCATTTTAGATAGGGTAGAAATTAGCAAAAAGATCTGGAAGTGGAAATAATAAATGATATATTCCAAAATGTATTCAATGAGTGTTCAAGTTGGAAGGAGAAAAAACTATGAAACAAAATTGAATGCTGACAATATCTCTGAAGAGGATGGTGAAGTTAGGACTGATTTAAAAATCACTTTTGCACCACTAGCTACTGACAGGCCCAATTTAAAAATCTGCTTCAGAATTAGAGCTCGCCACAAAAAGTGGTCAGGTGAGAATTCTTTTTCTATCTTGTATGAGACCACAAATTATCTGTAGGCAGAAAGAGTGCCACTTATCAGTGAATTTTGGTAGCCAGGCTTATGTTTATATCCTCGAGGTATAAGAAAGGAAGATTGGGGGAAACTGCCAAATAATTAAGGCATAAAGTTGTGAGCTGGGGTTATGGCTCAGAGGTAGAGCACTTGCCTAGCACGTGTGAGGCGCTGTGTTTGAGTCTCAGCACCGTATATAAATAAACAAATATTTAAAGGCCTATTAAAAACTTAAAAAAAAAACATATATATATAGGCATAAAGATAATGTATATTGGATATCTTCTATGTAAATCAAGACTGTCCTATAGGTGAGCATAACATCGGCAAACTCCACTACCAGCACAGAACTTCCAATTAATTAATTTGAGCACAGCAGTGTTTACTAGGCATCTTAGGAAAACATTTTACATTAGGGGCCACAACAAATAGAAAAGTCATCCATTAATAAGGAATTATTATCTACGAAACTGGAATAAAGTTGTTTAAAAACAAAATAAGATGTTTTAGAAATTAAAAGTGACAGTAGGAAGCAAAATTTAAAAGAAAGTTAAGGGGATCTTTAACAAAAAAGCCAAAGAGATAAATAGAAGAAAGCTAAGAAAATTAGAATTGCCCAGGAAGTTCAAATTCCACAGATTAGGAGTTAAGAGAGAATAGGTAAAAGAAAATAATTCCAGAATTAACAGTCTGATTTTTCAAATTGAAAGCATCTAGTGTAGTGATTAAAAGATATACACTAAAATTTATAAATTTCATAATATTTATGGGACAAAGAGAAAACTAAAAGTTTCCAGAAGAAAAACAGGACAGGAATTGAAGTGCTTTGTATTTCTTAAGAACAACAATGGAAACCAGAAGTTAATGGAGCAAAGGCTTTCAAAATTCTGAAAGAAAGCTATTCTAGTCAGAAAGCCCTGACCATTTAAGTCAACAGTTAAATGGGAAGGTTGATTATATACATTTTTAGGGCTGGGGTTGTGGCTCCGTGGTAGAGTGCTCTCTTAGTATGTGTGAAGTACTAAGTTCAATACTCAGCACCACATAAAAATAAATAAATAGAATAAAAGTACTGCGTCCAACTACAACTAAAAAAATAGACATATTTTTAAAAAGATTTTTTTTAGACATTTCGGGTGTACAGTTTCATGAGTTTTTACCAATTCATAGAATTCTTCACCCACCAGTGCATTCATGACACAGAATTATCTCATGACTCCACCGTTCCCTTATGCTGCCCCTCTGTAGAGAATCCTTCCTCCTGTCCCACTCTGGCAACCATAAAACTATTAACTGTCTCCATATAGTTTTGACTTTTTCAGAATACCATATAAATAGAAACATATAACTTTTCAAGTTGAGCTTCTTTTACTCTACCTAACAGATTTGAGATTCATCTTCATTGTTGTAAGTCTGCTTGATTTTTATAATTTTTGTGCTTTGATGAAAATTTGAGCATTAAAAAGCACAACTAAGCCTGGGATTGTAGCTCAGCGGTACAGTACGTACCTAGTGTGTGTGAGGTTTAAGTCCTAGCACCACAAGAACAAGAAAAACAAAAACAACAAAAACCCAATAATAAACCCATAAATTTAAAAAATAATTTATTATTTCAGAATGCATTCACAAGTGAAATCAGGCTAGAGGTAGGAAGAACCAGTGCTCAATGATTACTTTAAAATTCCTATTTACTTGGGGGTTGGTGTGGAATGTAAAAGGAATTTTCAGCTGTAATGCATGTAATAGGACTCCTTTATTCTAAACAACTGCATAGTGCAAAGATAGTCATTACTTTCATCCATATTTATGGAGTACCAATTATGTGTCGATTATTGTTCTAGGTGCTGTTATGGAACTTACATTCTTACAGAAGAGGCAGAGAATGGAGAGAAGCAAACAGATATCTGATGTCAGGTCATGATAAGTGCCGCTGGAAATGCAGAATAGTGAGGATGAAGATGCTGTGAAAGGTTTAATTAAATGTTCAGAGATGATCTTTCAGGTAAGGGGACATTTGTTGGAGACCTGAGGGAGGGAGTGACCTGGTATATTATTATGGGATGGGGATTCCTAACAGAAACAAGAGTGAGTACCTAAAGTATTAGGCACTTGATTATTACAGCTGTTTGAGACCTGAGCACTGCTGATGACCAGAGCTCTAGTTATGAGCCTTGAAAGAGCTCTGCAAACTTATGGGGAAGCAGCTGCCCTCTGATGGTGACATCCTGGGGAAACAGACATGACATTGCTCAGCTAGGCTTCTATTGACCTGCTTATGTGGTTATGTGCATATGCTACATGAGACAGGCCACTATCTGAGTTCTTAACAGTCATGATTTGGGCATTGTCTGCCAAGCAGCAGACCTTGAAGATCTAAATAGTAAAATTCATAAGAACAATTCATTTTAGAGCAGTGAGTCTCAACTCTCATTGTATGTCAAAATCACTATATATACTTCTACAGTTAGAAATCGTTCATGAGGAGTTTATTCCATACACAGGGTACTGTAGCACAAGTTATTTGTGGTACTTGTTTAATCCAGCACATGTTTCTTTTCTCCTGTTTGCCCCCCACTTAGGCAGTGGATATAAAATGAAAGAGGATGTGAAATGAATTCTAGTATTGTGATTAACTGATGTCTTAGATATTACAGTGACAGAACCAAAGCTACAAGCTGTTTCCTAGTTACAATGCCCCTCATTGTTTTCCTGTTTGGTGACTAGAAGTCCACTGTTACTATCCTGAAATTTCATATTCTTAGCCTCTAAAGAACCTAACTTAAAGCCAGCACCTTCACACTTCTAAATTTAGCTCTACATCATTGACAAGAAGATTAAACTAGAAGAAATGGATTTAGTCTGTCATAAGTAAATGAAATAAATACTTTAATCCACAAAAAAAAGAAAAGAAAAAAGAAATCTCACAACCTAACCCCCAGAGATTTGATATTAAATAGACAAAAGTGGCAAAAGGCCCCTTGAGTTTTCTTAACATGATTCAGGTGATTCTGATAGGTATCCAAACCAGTTTTGAAGATGTTTACTTACACCAGAAAAAAAAAGTGATACAATGTTTCCCAGGATTATTGATTTCCAATAAGGTTTACTCATACAAGATTCTGGCACTGGTATACAGTATCTTTATAGCAATTCAGTACACATTCCTAACACTTTAGTACTGATGGCTGACATTTTAAAAGTCATTGGTGGAGAAAACAGTTTGTCCCAAATGGTAGCTTTCCTTTTTGTTCATGATTTTGTTAATTTAACTTTCATTGTCCTACAAGGTGAATCTGGAGATTATTTTGTTGGCATGACACCGTTGGTTAGGGGCTATTCTATTGTACACAACAAAAAGAGGATGATTTATCATGTCTTTTTTGACCTGACACACAAAACACTAATAACTGGAAGAGTGATTCCAACAATTCTCCAGAGCTGTTAAATTAACTAGGTTTCAGAACAGAAAAAGAATTCCCAAATACCTAGAACCTTTATTTTCTCTTTTGTGGGCCTAAAGGAATAATCCATTTTTTCCCTTTTACAATATAATGGATACACATATAGCTGGCACTTTCTGCTGTTGTCTTGCCTTGCCAAAAACATTATATCTTTTGAAATTATACCTATGGACTTTGTTACTTCCTTTGTGGATCTTTAATTGGTAGTGGACTCAAGATGGCCCAAGGCAGGTACATTAGTAAAGCCATATGGAAGTTACTTCTGGTGAGAAGCAGTAGATGATCCAACATTCAGATATTTTGTTTCCTAAATGAAATCAATCTGAATGATACCATAGAACATGGTTCCGAGATACGCATCGTGATTGGAATTCACCTTCCAATCCAAATCATAGTAAGGGTTACTTAGAAGTGGTAAGTCAATAAATTCCATTCCATTTTAGGAGAGGGCAGTGAGTTAAAATAGAAACTGTACTGTCATATGTTAACAGAATATTTTAGGTGTGCATGTTCATGTAGACAATTCCAAATTGTGAAAAATGACAGAACTGAGAATAAAGAAACAATTGGGCAGATTAGATGTATGCCTTTTAAACTTGGCCAGTGCCTAACAGTCCCAGGCCAAACCAAAAGCCATTTCCTGGCACTTACTAAATGGAACAATAAACATCTAATTAGTATTGATGTAGGTAGAAAAGAATATATATATATATTTTTATTTAGAGGAAAACTAGTTTCAATTCCTTTTAGTTCTTTGCTTGATGCTTATTATTATCTGTCCAGCCATAAAAATTTCCCTCCCTACTCTTGCCTTCCCTGTCAAAAACCAATATAAGGGCTGAGGATGTAGCTAAAGCACTTTCCTAGCATTGTGAAGCCCTGGCTTTAATCCCTAGCACACCCCTGCCTTAAAGGTCAATGTAAATTAGAATGATAGGAGGAATAAGTATGATCTAGAAAATATTAAGAAATTTATTAGAACACTAAAAACTGTTGTACTTATATTATTAGGATCAGAGAAAGGAGTGTGGCAAAGAGGCAGCAAATTTATCTTATTTAGAATGGAGACATATGTACTAGTCCAGCATGTTCCCAAGTCCCCTATAATCTATTCTTAAATTTTGGACTCCTATCATGTCTTTGATATTTCAGGAGCCGACTTAAACTTTACTATGCTACCCATTGATTCAAGGCTGTCTAAGTCAACTTCATGAAATTAAAGTCCTTGTCTGCTTTGACACCTCACAATTCTTGGTACATGGAATATACTCAATAAAGACTTGCTTAGGCTGCAGAGGCATCACAATACCTGATCTAAAATTATACTACAAAGCTGTAGTAACAAATAGCATGATATTGACATAAAACCAGATGAGGATCAATGACTAGAATGTGCAGAGAAATCCACAGGGACACAGTTACCTGATCCCTAACAAAGCTGTCAAAAACATACCTTGGAGAAAAGATCACCTTTTAGACAAACAGTGCTGGAGGAACTGATTTCCCTATGAACAAGAATGAAATTAGATTCCATTCTTTTCACCCTGTATAATAACTCAAAGTGGATCAAAGACCTGGGAATTCCACCAGAAACAGTATAACTGCTAGAAGAAAACATAGGGTCAACATTCCAACATATTGGCACAGGTAGTAACTTCCTTAATAAGCTTAAGAATAAAAACCAGAAATAAGTGTGATGGCATCAAATGAAAAATCTTCTGCACAGGAAAGGAAGAGAACCTACAGAATGGGAGAAAATCTTTGAAAGCTTTTCCAAGGGGGGATTAATATCCAGAATATATATTGAGCTCAACACCAAAAGGCAAATAACTCAATCAAAAATAGACAAAAGAATAAACAGTCACTTCTCAAAAGAAAAAATGCAAATAACTGACAAACATGTTCAACAGCCCTAGTAATGAGGGAAATGCAAATCAAAATTATACTGATATTTCATATCACTCCAGTTAGAATGGCAATGATCAAGAACACAAATAACAATTGCTGGTGAGGATGTGGGGGTAAAGATACACTTATATATTGTTGGAGGGGCTGCAAATTAGTGCAACCACTCTGCAGTATGGGGATTCCTTAAAAGGCTAGAAATAGAATTAGTGTATGACCCTGCTGTCCCACTATTGGTGTATGTATATCCCAAAACACTAAAATCAGCGTACTGTAGTGATATATGCATATCAATGTTTATAGAAGCTCATTCATAACAGTCAAGTTGTAGAACCAAGCCTAGATATCCATAAACAGACTAATGGACAAAGCAAATATCAAACACATACTCCACACCTGGAGTTTTACTCAGTCATAAAGAAGAATGAAATTATGTGATTTGCTAGTAAAAGGAAGGAACTGGGGAATATCGTGCTATAAGTGAAATAACCCAGACTAAAAGTCGAGGGTTGAATTTTATATGTGGAAAGTAGGGAAGGGGTAGCACAAACAAAAAGAGCTCCCCAAATAGGAAGGAGACTCAATATTGAGTATAGGAAGGGAGGAGGAGAGTATATAGGGAAGTCCTGGGGAATGAAATTTCCAAATTATGCTATGTCCATGTAAAAACATGCTACAATGAGCTTATATATAAGACGAGATCAGGGAGAGAAGAGGGAGGAAAAAGGAAAGTATTAGGGAATGAGATTGAACAAATTATGTATAATTATAAAGCATCAATTTTAAAAAATACACAACATTGGCTTTATTGAAGGGAAGGGGAGGGGAAGAAAGGTAATGGATTGAGTCCAAGCTTACTGGTGTGCCATACTAGATACAGCTTCTTGCTTTGTTACTAATCATTCCCTGCATAGGTCCTTGAAGACCTCTAGGTGGCTTACTTCACATACAGTACATCATACCCTGCTACCTGCACACTCTACTAGTCATGCCCTTCTCCTCTTTCTCCTGGTTCAACTGGTAAGATCTTAGGTCCATTTAAAACCCCATACTATCTGGGGACATCACTAAATCTGTATTAATTGCTCCTATGCTACCTATACCTTGTGCTACACATACTGAGGTACTCCTTCATCAGTGTACTGTTTTATTGCTAGACGTTTCAACTTATGGTATTCATATGAGTCCTTCATAAAGACAGTAGCTTCAACATTTCTACATTTCTTTAGCACAGAGTACACAGTAGACATTGAATCAGCATTAATCCATTCATTGTTCATGTCAAGTAGCATTTTAGGTACCACAGTTCACAAAACTTTAAGAACCCTTATCTTCCTGGAGTTTTTTCTAGTCAGAGAAGGCTGATAACAATATATAGGTAAAATACATAAACAGAGAAGGTAAAGAGTGTGTGTGTACATATGCACATGTTACCAAGGAGAATATTTGAGGAAAAGGTGTTCCTATCAGAGGGAACTACAGAGTACATATACACTGATGTGGACATGGATCTGAGCTGTCTGGGGACGTAGCAGTGAGGAAGTGAGTGGCTGAAGCAGAATGAGCAAGCGGGAGTGTAGTGAAAGATGAAAATAAAGGGTGTGTGCAGGGTTAGATCCCAGAGTTCATACAGGCCACAGAAAGGACTTTGGTTTTTAATCCAAGTGAAAAGTCACGAACGGAAGAATGGTGAGCTCCAGCCCACAGTTAACAGGGACATTCTGGCTGCTGAACTGAGGGCAGACTTTAAGGGAGCATTTAAAAAAAAAAGCACTGAGACAAATCTAGGGAAAATACGATAGTGTTCAGACCAAAAGGCTAATAGAGAGTAGAAGAGGTATGAGAAGTAGTTAGAGATGGATGTATTTTGAGGATAAAGACAACAGCCTTTGGATGGAGGATGTAAAAAAGAACAGTTGAGGATAATTCAGTGATGTGGGGCTGAAGGGTTTGGGGAATGAAAGATGAAGAAGTTATTAAATCAGGTTAGGAAGACGGGGAGGTTTGGGGGGTTTGGAGGTTAAGTTTGAGAATTCCAGTAGACATCTTAGTGGTGATGCTGAATAGTGCCTGGAATTCAGAGAAATATCAGCAAAGAACGAAATGATATTTAAAAGGAGTGAATGTATTTGGAAGAGAGAAAAGTCCAAAGGGTTTAGCCCTGGGCTCTCCAAGATGTCTAGCTGATGAGGAAGAATCGACAAAGGAGTAGCTAGGGCAATAGAAGGAAAACCAGAAATGTGGTTCCAGAAACCAAGCAAACTATTTCAAAGAGGACAAAATGGTTCACCATGTCATCTGTTGCTTGTGGTCAAGTGACATAAGGGGTAAAAATTCACCTCTAGATTTAGCAGTGTGCAGATCACTGGTGATCTTGACTAGTTCTTGTGACAGCATAACTGGAATAGATGTGAGAGAAAAAAGGAGAGCAAGTACAGTATACACAAGTCTTTAAATAAGTCTTGCTATAAAGATATGAAGAAAAGTGAGACAGTTTGAGGGGAATATGAAATCAAATATGAGGAGAAAATGCATTTTTTTAATGTGGATGGAGTTTGCGTTGGAACAGCAAATACTGATGCAGAGATGGGGAAGGAGTGATAGTTTTTTTATCTAGATAGTTTGAATGGGATCTAATACTCAAGTGATTGTGAGGTGGGTTAGCCATTGCTAGAATATATCTTAACACTAAGCAGAACATTCTGGTAGACTTGCAAGCTGGGATAGGTGTGATGAGACCTACTGGATGTTCTCCTCTATTTGCCCCCATTTTCTCAGTTATATAGGATGCAAGTTCATAAAAGGAGATTGACATGAGAAAGTTTAAGAAGAGATGCTGAAAAGTCTTTGGGAAGAATAGGAAAGTGAATTGAAAGGAATATTTATTTATGATGTCTGGGCAGTGATATGAGAGCTGGTTGATCGTAAACTGAAGGCCATGACCAAGTTCAGCTTATAAATATAAGTACAGGAACTAGATTTTCCAGGATACAGATGTAGAAAGGAAACATGACAAATATTTATTGATTCTGATTCAACTTTGAACAAAACTTATTTCTGTCATCATATAGATATTAATGGGGAGTTTAACCTTGAGATCATATGCCTGTCCCACTACTGTTTGGTTATCATGAAATAAAAAATCCACAAAGGCCAGTATTCTGAAATACTCACCGCCCTTCAAATCTGTGTTTTAAAAAATCAAACAATGCTTTTTGCATCATATCTGTGACCTGTGAGAAAGCAATAAATTATGATAAAATATTACTACTTTGATAAAACAATTTTTTACAACCATATCAATGTTTATAGCAGCACAATTCACAATAGCTACATTATGGAACCAACCTAAATGCCCTTCAGTAGATGAATGGACAGGAAAACTTTGGGGTGTGTGTGTGTGTATACACACACACACACACAATGGAACATTACTCAGCGTTGAAAGAGAATAAAATCATGGCATTTGCAGGTAAATAGATGAAGTTGGAGAACATAATGCTAAGTAAAGCAAGCCAATCCCCCAAAACCAAAGGCTAAATGTTTTCTTTGATATGAGCATGCTGACTTATAATGGTGATGGCTGGGCAACATGGGAGGAATGGAGGAACTTTAGATAGTGCAAAGGGGAGGGAGGGAAAAGGAAAAAAATGAAAAGAACTCTTAAAATTACCTTAACTTTGCATTGGAACTTAGAAACAGAAAAATGTGGTAACCTCACATGCTTCTTTTTCCAAATACAAAGACAATTCAGAAGAGTTCCCCAAACTTATCCTGATGCTTTAGTGACAATAAATTAGACTGCAAATGGTTTCAGTTACTCTCCATTTAATACGATTTCCTGGATTGAGGAAACTGTAGCTAGCAGAAATATCCTAAGCAACAACCAGGAGAACACACCAAACAACATATACCACAACTTGAAAAAAACAACATGCTTTGCTGCTCTGGGCTCTTTAAGTTCAAATTCCATAGTTTAAAGTGGGAGGTAGAATCACAAAGCAGTTTAACATGAGAAGGTTAAGTGTGCTACAGAGGCAAAGGCTGCTACTCACCTCATAACCCTTCAGAGAGGGGCCCACTAGGACCACTGGCCGCATGGAAGGTACAACATCATAAGGAGGAGTGTGCTCTGTCTGCAGAGAGAGGACATGCATTTAGATGTTTCACAGACAGGGGAAACATAGGATTTTGCATCTAATAAAATAACTTTGCTGAACTCTAATATGAGGCACTGGTTTTCCAGACATTTAATTTTTTTTCTACTTGCCTCTTTTCTAAATAAACCCAATCAAAGGTTGGTGGGTTTATTTTCCTGAATTTCATGTTACTGAATAGTGCAGAGATTTTCTTGCTCATCTCAAGAAATGCTATTATCATAATAGTTCCAAAAGCATAAAGTGCCACTTTTGAACAAAAACTAGTTGTAGAACAAACAGAAACATGCCTCATGCAGAATAAGTGCCATAGGCTTGACTGGAAGTTAATATTGCTTTTCAAATGCATTTGAGTTTTTTGAAGAGTTGAGATGATCATGGTTAATTACGGAAAAAAGATTCTATTTTCTTTGTATCTTAGATGTTTGTCTTACCTGCATAAAGCCTAATTTCAAAACATTGTGAATCTCACTACCAAATACTTGAAAATTCTGTTTCATTGTGAGCATTTAAGTTGGCATGAATGTATATTCCAGTAAACAGTAATTATGAGCACTGTTCCCAGGTTAATAATTAATGCTTTTGGATTTTTAGTTTTTATATGTTGGCATTTAAAAACATAAATGTAAGATTTGTGTCTCAGAAGGAAGATGATTAATGTGTAATAACATTCGACAGTGCTTCAGTGCCCTCCAAAGATTATCAACTTGCATATCTAATATACTTCTCAAATGTAGTTTAGTTAGTGTTTCTATTACATAACTAATTCATGTTTTTCTGCAGGAATTTGTTTCTTTTTTGGAAGTGCAGGGGAGGAGATAAATTTTGTTGTAATTTCTAAAACTATCAACATTTTTCAGCTTTCTTCAAATACAGTTTTTTCAAAATAATTATATATTACCTAATTTGATTACATTAAGACTGATTTGTTTGATAGTATTTGTATATTGTATTATTTTAATAACAAAATATTAAATTGATCCAGAAATAATCTTTTTAATAAAAAAGAAATACAGGAGAGCAATAGATATGGCCTTAGACACTGGGAAAGTTAATATTTATTTTTTCTCTATATAACTTTTTTTTTGGTTAAGGAGTACCTTTCTCCACTAAGTATATATATTCATGAAAATATATATACTTAAAGAATTACATATATCAAAAGAACAATGCTTTTTAAGTATTTTAAGAATTTGATAAACTAATGTGCAAATGTAATTTTTGTATCAGCCTGTCATTGAAAAACATTTTATTGTTGCTTAAAATTGCTTATTATAAAGTTTCTCACTTTGTTTGAATTTAAGTTGCTTGTGGGAATGATTTAAAAAGCATTTCAAATTCAATAGTTTCTGTCTGAGATTTCACCAATATTTGTAGACAGCATGATCAAGGGGAAGAAAAATATTACTGTGACTGTGCTGTCACATTTTACTGATTAAAATTTTACCTAGCTCTTAAAATTAATTTTAATAGACACAATTAAGGTAGGATACATTTTTGAACAGAAAAAAAAGAGACAAACATAATACAGTGACAGCACAAATGCCACACAAGCACCACTCTAAAAGCAACCTAAAACACAGAAAACAGTCTTATTGTTGAATCTCAGGCTTTTTTTTTTTTTCCTGAGCTCTACGTTGAAAGTTACCACAGATTTGATAACATAAGAAGAATGAATACCAGTGCCGAAGGCATCATAAGCATATTTACTAAATTATTATGTTATACCACCTGGGATATTACTGAAAATGTTTAGAAGCCAAGTCCTTATAACTATGCAGTATAAGAACACCTTTCCCACCATCATAATTAGGAATATAAATTGCATGCATTTTTAATAACAGCTACCAAGAAATTTTATTTCCAAGTCTTTAAGTCTAAAGTGGCACAGTGTTTAATAGCTCTTTCATTCCTCCAATCTGTGACTGCCAACTAGCAAAGGGTTCCCATGCTGGTAATCAATTGGCTTCTTAATAAGGTAGCTACAGAAATTACCTTATTTGATGGAATATTGGTACTTTGTTCCCCTATTGATAAAAAGTATGTCTTTTTTGTGGGGGAAGGGTGCCAGGGATTGAACTCAGGGGCACTCAACCACTGAGCTACATCCCTAGTCCTATTTTGTATTTTATTAGAGATAGGGTCTCACTGAGTTGCTAAGCACCTTGCTAAATTGCTGAAGTTGGCTTTGAACTCGGAATTCTCCTGCCTCTGCCTCCCGAGCTGCTGGGATTACAGGCATGTGTCACCGAACCCAGCCAAGAATACGTCTATTTTATCTTCCCTTTCCTACTTACCCTATTTTGTTTGAATCATTTAGTGGAAAATATGTGATAAGGTCTTTTTAAAGTTGTGAAATTTAAGGGTAAGCAAACTTCAAACACTATCTTGACCAGCATCATGGTTTAAGTGGCTGTTCTTGTCCTGTGATGTCCAGAGTAGTTTACCAATGATGGTTTTCTAAGTTCCTAACCTGTGGACACTGCTGGTCACTTGGCTGCAAGATTTAGCTGTGATCAGAAGATAGGACCAGAAAGATAGGCCCACTAGAGTGGATGAATATTAAGTTGGGGCTTTCTGTATTAACACAAAAATCCAGGTGTTTTAAGTTTTGCCTTAAGTTCTGAGGTCTTCCCTTCTTAAGGTATCCTAAATTTATTAAAAAAAAAAACTAAGTGTAGGGTTCAGTATATGACACAGTAAGTTAATAAACCTAGAGTTCCTCTACAGAGTAAAATACTTGTTTGCAGAGGAAAAGATTTTAGTATTGAGAAACTATGGGGCAGAGAGTATTCCCATGTTTGTGCTAGGTTGGTGACGTTAGGAAAATGAGTCTAAAAGACAGCCGAGTAGCTTCTGGAAAGTGGCTTATAAATGAAGGGGGAAAAAATGGAAATTTGGGGGTATGTGTTCCTTTAAAAAATAATACTTGAAGCTACAAAACATGCCGAAAGGAATCAGGCTATCTGGTATAAAGAGAGCTCAGGAATTCCCTGGAATTTCCAGTCAGGGGACAAGCAGCATCAGTGCGTAGCATCTTGGTTGGCCAATGGCAAAGGCTCTATGCATGGCCACCAGCCCCATTGTCCAACAGGTGAGATGCTGAAATCTGACTGATGGAGAAGGCAAGAACATTGGGAGAGTATTTATATATGACAATAGAAAAAACTCACAGTAAACCGCCAAAACAAGCCTGCAGTTTTCCACTGGTCTTGTTCATCTGCAGATTTTGCACCTAGTGGATTAGAAGTTTAAATACTGACTAAATTAAAAATTGAATCATCTTTTTTTAGTACAAGCTATGTATCTGGATATCATAAATCAGTATCTAATAACTGCTTTAATATGCTTGATTATCAGTTAAATTTCTGGAAAAAAGAAAGAAATAAAGACAGACAGAATAAGCATGCACAATTGAGGTGCATTAGATGGAGTTGTCAGTGTTGGACATCCTTTGAATGCTGAAACAAATTCCCTTGGTGGTAGATATTATTCCATCAAAAAGGATAAGTACTGTAATGGTATTTTAACAGGTCACTGAATTTAGCCGGTTTGAAATGCATGGACTCAATTAGCTGTTGATAGGTTCTTTTCTTAGGACAGAAATGATTGTATTTAATAAAACTGTGGGAATTAATGCTAATGATGCCAGTGGCAGGATAAACACAGCTTATGTCAATGTAAACTTACCGATTTCTGCTTCTGCTTAGCTACAGCAGCGTGGAAAAGAAACAAAGAATAACAGAGCATGCATGTTATTGGCTTGTCAAAGGACACAGACAGTCAACAGGACTAGAAATGTGACGCAGTGCAGTTGAGCGGGTGGACAACGGGAGCTGGGAAGTTCATGTTACCTTCTTAAAGAAGGGCATTCTTTTCTCTTTGGAGTGGGGTGACGTTACACTGTTTGCACTGGGCTTAGGGGAGCGGTGGTTTGCTGGAATATCATTTTCTTCTGCATCTAAGCCAGTAGCATCTATGTCTATAGCTATATACAGACAAACAATTCAAAAATCATCAGGTGGACAGGAGAGGAAAAACAGGTTATAAAGAAAATAAAATGAAACCAAATAAACTAACCACTGTAAAAGAGCTATCATAAATAAGTGTTCAACACAGTACACAAAGAAAGTAAAATTTAAAGGTACAGCACATTAAGAATGCAATGTAATCAAATCTGATAAAACTGAAAGATACCCTTATCATATCTGTTTGCTTGAGCAAATCTATTCCATGTTAGATCTCTTGAATATTTTGAGAAATGTTTTTAATTTATAGTTTCAGATATAATGTTGCTATTCTCCACATCAACTATATAAAACTACAGTACAGAACATTCTGCTTCACTTTGTACAGTGTCTTAACCCAGCTTTTAGATAATAGGCAACTATATTGAAAACTTAACAGGATATGCCTCATATTTCTAATTTTGTGGAAAATAGGGGCCATGTGAAAAGATTTACTACAATTGCAACAGGCATTTGAGGGAAAGAGAATAGAAAATCCTCAATCCAAACAGCACAGAGAGGGTTTCAGGATAGACAGGATTAAAATGAATTGCAAGTGCACACTCAGAAAGGCCTGATCAAAGACTAATTGGAAAACACTGGATCTGATGATATCCCAATGAAATCAGTCTAATAAAAATAAGGCTTGTGGTGACTTATGAAGCCATTGGATATAACCCATCAGGCAGAATGGAGGGCACAAAGACCTAAGATAATAGGTCACTGTTCTTTTCCACTGTACAGTGAGGGTATGGGATTGTTGCTTGACATCCCTTCCATTTGAAATCGTTCAACATAAAAATACTACTCTTAAAAAGTAGCAAATGGGAAAAGGATGCATAATCTCAGAGTTTATAAAAATGTTTCCACACGTAATTATGATACAATTCTTTCAACTATAGAAGCACTTAAAAATAAGAGGGTCGACGTTGATATAAGATTTAAAAGCTGAACTTAAAGTTTATGCTCTCAGTAATAACTCGGCAGGGCAGGACTCAGAACCTAGGTCTCCCATCGCAGTGAGTCCATTCTTTTCCCTATACCATGCTGCCCTCCAGTTAAGTCCTTCTCAATCTGGGCACACACTTTCAATTCCTTTTGCTTCTTCAAGGGGGTCATGTCTTTGGTATCAGGATTCAGGAGGGTATCATAGAGTTGAGCTCACTAGAAAATTATTTTATGGTTGAGATTAGATCAGGGAGATGAAAAGAAAATTTACTTACCATGTGGGAAAACACCATATCATACATGTTAGCCCTCTAACAAAAACCACAGTACTTTCAGATTGAAGGAATGATTTACCATTTGGAACAACAGATTGCTTGGTGTTGCAACACATATACATTTCTGTGACATACAAGCTGAATTGATGCTCACAATACTCTCTTTTAACCTTCCAAAGAAGGGGAGATCATCTTATAGGCATGTTATTTTTCAGTTTTGTGGTTATTATGGATTTTAGATCATTCAGCCATTTGGAAATTAGGATATCATTTAATTTTTTTGTTTCATTTGATAAGGTCAAAAACCTGTGATGGAGTGAATACTTGGCACTGTTTGTACAGTGTTACAAATACCAGTTTGGGCTTGCATAATAGATCAGGTACAGTCTTCTATCAAGGGAAAGTAATAATAAACTAAATTAATTCCACATATTTACCTAGTAAATATGTCTTTCTTTTTACTGTCTATGCATATGGAGTAACTAAAAGGTTCAGTGTGTGGTGTGCCAAGAAATTATAAAATGTGCCCAGGGCTTTGAACCTACCCTGGTTTTATAGCACACTATGGTTAACCCTTTGCTCATATAGGTATGTTTCATTATGGGGCTTATTGAATGATTATCATGGGAAAAGTCTGAAAAATAGAAAGTGGTGAGGAATAATTTTCCTTGAATCCTAAAAAGGAAGACTATTGTTAGTACTTTTCTGGACTAAGGAGAGGATCTGGGCCATTATTTCATTGTTCCTGTAACAGGTCTTAACCAATATTAAATACATTTCCTTTCTGGCCATAGATTTCCACATACTCTTTCTTTTTTTCCACCTTTTATTTGGCTTAGTAAGGCTCCAATCAAGGGACAGTTCCCTCTGAATGCCTTTCTGAAACCGAGGGTGCCCAATTGGAGGTCAAAGTTGATAGCATTCTGGGATGGCAAAATTCATGAACTGAATTTTATGCTTTGCCCACTAAACCCTGTCTGCTGTGATCATCAGATGAATTTGTTTTACAAGGAAGAGTGGAAATGCATAAAAGTTGTGATGTGCTCAGATATTTGGCTACCCACACACATAGCCTGAGTGAGGACTAAAATTTATCTTTATTTCAACACAGGGGCCCCATATCCCAAAGAGACAACTTTCCAACTTACTGGTTCTGAATTTAGTTAACTTAAGTCTAAAAGCATTTGGGTTTTCTCTATAACACTGATAATTCAAGAATATGTGGTCACTTTCAGAACACATCAAAAAGAGAATCTCTTTTTCACAGTTCTGTATAGTATGTTGGATTCACATGGTTCTTTTACTAAGAGATGTTACTGCTTTTTAAATTCAGAACTGTATTTCCATACCTTGGCAAACATTAATATTTAGTTGGAAAAATACTTTGAAAATAGCTTTTTCAGTCCTCCTTAGTAGCATTTATGTTTATGTATGTGCATACATATATATGCATGTATGTATGTAATTATGTACAGAGCCTTGGAAACATTTTTTGAAAGGTATATTTTGTTTTATCTCAGAACTTGGGTCAAGGTGAGCAGAGCTCAAGGGTGATGTGTCTACACAAATGTAGGTGTGTGGCGTACTACCCCATTATGCAAATGTGAAGTATAAAGTTTTCCTCTCCACACCCTTGAGAATATCCATGCATATTTACTTCAGTCAGATGCTAATATTCCTTGGTCTAGCAATGATTGAGGGGAATTATAGATAGGGCCTCAGAAACAAAAAGATGAAATTATAGGCCAATCCACACTTGATAATTGGGGTAGTTGTTCCTGGATCCTCTCTCTAAAATTTTCTGAAGGTTTACCTTAGATCTATTGAGCTATTGATGTAAAAATTAATTGCTTATTATTCATTTCACAGTTGATCACATCTCCAGGCCGGTCGGTCAAATGTTTTATTCTCTTGGTATTCAGAGGAGTTACTCCAAAGTCCTGTGTCTGTATAAACCTTTGGTAAAGTTTAAAGTCATCTTTATTTTATTATATTCTTCATGGAACTTATTTTTAGTAATGATAAACATATGACTATAAAATGAAATTTTATTTTACATATACACTAACTTATTCTCCAAAATGCACGCACTGGTTTTCATTATATGGCTAGAATGATTAGATGGCTACAGTGTGGTTAGAGGAAATGAAAGAACTGTATTGGCTGACAAAAGAGGGGCTTTATCACAATGTGATGTAGCATTTTTTCCATCTTAAGAGCCTAATAGCAGTCCTCAGGAATCCTGGAGATATTCTTTTACATATATAGGAAATGTATGAGTCTATGTAGGAATGTGTTCAGCTTCACACATTTGAGTAGAGCAGGATTAGGTTCCTTTCTTCTGTGCATTCAGGGAAGACCTTCTTCCTAATGCTCAAGGGAAGATACAAGCCTCACATAATAGCTACAGTAGTTTAATCTTCTCTTCAACCACACTGTTACTTCATTTTGAGCATCTTAGAATTGCTGCAAGTTATAAGCTCATTGCTTTTGAAATCAATATGCATCCTAATTTCTCATTGTGTTCAGATTTTGCTCACTTAAAAAGAAATCTGTAGTTTTTGCTAAATCTCTAGTTTCTAAAAGCTGTCCACATTCAGGAACTTGGTATGATTATGAGTAATAGAAGAATCCTGTTCTTAAGACACTGTAGTCAGAGTGCCAACAGTTTCTTACTTTTCTATAGATGCATAATTCTCTTTATGATTTTTTTCTCATTTCCAGCTTCTTGGAAATCACACACAAGATCATTTTGCTATAACAGTCTGGCAGCCAATCCTTATAATCCTACTGACCCCCAGTTACGTAGTATAAAATCCGAGGCACTGATTATGAGCTTTCATGCTAAGACAGTGAGTGTTCTATTTATATAGAAATGTAAGCTCTACTCAAAATGCTAGAGTTACCACATAAAACAAAATACACTTAAATTTGATTTCCAGATAAAACAATTTTTTTAGTTTAAGTAGGATCCATAAATTTTCAGTGTTAAGTATTTCCCATGAAATACATACTTAAAGATTATTTTTGTTTACTTGAAATTTTCAGCTTTAAATGCTGTCCTTTATTTTGTTTAGCACTTATAAGAATAAATCCATTACTTTGGAAAAAATAAGTAGTGTTACTCTGCCTACAAGAGTTTTTGTTGATATTTCTGTGCATTGTCTATGTCTTCCACAGAGCCTGTCTAGTGTTTCTTCTGAGAAGCTGATCACTCCATCTTCACTTAATTGTCCATTCCTCACTCTATTCTAAAGTTTGAATGCTGTGTTCTCTTTTTATTTAATTCTGAAGCCCTACAACCACACTATACTGTGATAGTTGGCGGGCATTCACTTCTTTATTGCCATGGTCATCTATAGTAACTCAGAGTAAATTGACACACTTTTTTTTTTTTCACCCGAAGCCAGAAAAAGTTCTCCAAATTCTTGCTAACTCCACAAGTTAGTTTTTTATTTAGTTAGTTTTGATTTCTGATATATCTTAGCATTTGTAGGATTGACAGAGTGATTCAGTGTATGTGAATTCATGAAACTAGATCAGACTGGGGGAAGCATGAAATGCAGTATATACTGTTCAGCACTTATCACCTACTTACCAGATGATGGAGGTGTAGATTTTCTGGAACTAGGAACAATGTCACCCAAACTGGATGAAGAATTTCCTCCTGATTTACTGAAGTAAAGCAAAAACTCATATTAAATCTGATACTTATTTCAGATTCTAAAACATTCATACTGCTTAATAGACATGCTACTTGATTGTATTTTTATTGAACTTTAAAATGTATTTTCTTTTTTCTTTACAAGAATGTGAACAGTATTTCCTGGTGGAGACTCTGTAGTACTTGAAATGATTATGTGATGGTCTCTGTTCACATTTTCAAATCCGAGGTTTAATTTTAAAAAGCCTTCAGAGAACAGAAGCAAACTAGGATAATTTCTGCAGGCTTCAGGTTCTCTAGCCAGATCAGAAGTGACTAAACAACAGAGACTACTTCTTTTTTTTTTTTTTTTTTAATTTGGAGGCCTTCTGAGTTAGTGAATACAAAGAATATTAACGCTAACACCCGAGTTGAATGTTTTCTTCTTGTTTAGTTCCAGCTCCTTTGTCTTAGTATAGTAAAAATAATGAAGCTAAGATTCAAAGTGCTCAAGCCTTCATGGGCAACCTATAAAAGTAAAACAAAGCAATTTTAAAGCTTCTAACCTTTAAGAATTATACAACCTATAAAAGTAAAACAAAGCAATTTTAAAGCTTGCTAAACTTTCACATGAAGAAATGTGAAACAGAGTACTTTATGATTTAATCAGCAATTAGTACCCAGAATATTTCATAAGCATAGTTAATATGGAGAATTAAACTGGGTTAATTTAGGAATGATCTGAAGAGCATATCCTTGAAAACCACCAAATTCTAAAATTTGATAGAAGATACATTTTTTCATCTTAGAACCTTTGGAGCTAATATTAAAACAATAGCATTGGCCGCATGGTGGCTCATGCCTATAATCCCAGTGGCTCGGAGCTGAGGCAGGAGGATCACAAGTTCAAAGTCAGCCTCAGCAAAATCAAGGTGCTGAGCAACTCAGTGAGACCCTGTCTCTAAATAAAATGCAAAATAGGGCTGGGGACCTGGCTCAGTGGTTGAGTGCTTCTGAGTTCAATCCTCAGTACCAAATAAAAAAGCATTTATGGTTTTCATCAGTGTACAAGAATGGAAATAACATATTACTCAGATTCACAAATGAAGATGGCAAGCAGTATCTTTTTCTTTAAATATTTTTAGTTGTAGATGAACACAATACCTTTATTTATTTATTTATTTATTTTATGTGGTGCTAAGGATTGAACCCAGTGCCTCAAATGTGCAAGGCAGGCACTCTACAGCTGAGCCACAACCTCAGCCTGACAAGGAATACCTTAAAAGAGGACACAGAATTTGGGCAAAATGATCCTATTGCTTAATGTTTATTATGCATGAGCAAGAATCTAGTTGAAAGAATTCGTCAGTGTCTGTGCATCAAAGGGCAATATTCACTATATTAATATTATAGTGAATATTAATATGAAATCTCAGCAACAGTAAATAATAAAAAACTGAATCATTGCTATTATTCTAGCATTTTCATATATAAAACAAACATGACATATCAAAAACCTATTAAGTAACTACCAGGAGGGCTCTACATCTATTTTAAGGTTTTTAAGAGATACTCCTATATATTTAATAAGTAACCAGACAGTATGTAAAATTAGTAAGAAGTGGTATTTATAGAGGCAGTTTATGGCAGTTATGTAAGGACACTTATTACCAGAACCAAAACATTTTCTTTCAGAAGTTTATTGTATTTTCTTTTTCTAAAACACTAAGTATAATTTCAGTTTAAGTGTGGGTTTATTTTACATTCTTTTTGCAGTTTAATAGTCAAAATATTATTTTAGCTGTGTAGAATTTTGACAGATAATCCTCAGTTAAAATGTCTAGGATGCAAATTTGTCCTTAACTTTTTTGGGGGGACGTGGGGAGGGGTACGAGGAATTGAACTCAGGGGCACTCAACTGCTGAACCACATCCCCAGCCCTATTTTATATTTTATTTAGAGACAGGGTCTCACAGAATTACTTAGCACCTTGCTTTTGCTGAAACTGGCTTTGAACTCATGATCCTCTTGCCTTAGTCTCCTAAGCCACTGGGATTATAGGTATGTGCCACAGCACCCAGCCAGTCCTTAACTTTTACTTGTATAAAAAATGCCAAATTTGTAAACCACATCCAAGTGTAATCGCCTTTTCTGTCCGTTTTTATAGTTTTCTGGAATTTTGAAACACTGCTCCAGACTCTGTCTTAATTTTTTTTTTTTTAATGTTAGGAGACAAATGAAAAAACCTACAAAGGCAGGAAGTGTTTTTATCCACTTAGGCAAGTTTGTGTTTAGAGATGGGGCTGAATCCTGAAAACTAAAGGAAAGATTATACTTCTATCTGAAAAGTTAACCCTGGAATTAATTATAAGATGCTATGAACTTGACAGTTGTAAATGCTACTTAATGAGGATGGCTATTCCAAACTGACACATTCCATTTCATTTGTTGATACTTGGGTAAAAAAATCCTTGCTGACATTTAATATGTTATCATTGATAAAGGAATTTGCATCATCATATGAACAAACAAGATATAAAGCATAGAGAAACAGAAACCAAGCTGTCCAGACTAAAGTCTTGCCTGTAGCCCATCCTTCATGTGGGGAGAAGCTTGTCATATCCTTGGAGTTGTCTGCATAGGTTTCAGTTTAAAATTCACACCTGTCTGAGCAGCCCCCTAGTGAGTTGTCCAGTGAAGGGTAAATAACCTCAAGCCTGCTAGGAAGGATTATTCAGCCCCAGCCGATTACATAATTCACATAATTGCTATCTGCAAAGGCAGTTTTAACTTGTTTCATACCTAGTATCTCTTTAAATACTTAAAAGTGGATAGAACTGAAAATTAGTTTCATTTTCACCTAAGAAACTCAACAGATGACAAGAACTGCTATTTGCCAATCATGTCTGAGACTATCATCTCTAAAACATCTCCCTGCCATGCCAGGCAGCTAAAGACACTCGGATTAGTCACCACGGCTGTTCTGTGCCAGAGTATTTTCAGCAAATGATTAGGACTTCAGATTTCCTCTGCACTGAAGCTGGAATTTAATACTGTATGACCTTAAATATGATCATTAATGAACATAGCTAACTTTAGTTATCTTCCAAATGGGATGAAGTTTTTAAAATGCAGTATTTATGCTATCAATAGACCATATCACCAGGCTGCTTTCAAATACATAAGACTGTAGAATACAAACAGTATATATATGATGTTATACTCTGAACTTTTGCACAAGCTCTTGACATTTTTCTCATACCTGGAGTAGAATTTCCCTTGCTTGGCTCTCTGCTCATGCTGTAGCCTCATGTTTTCTAGTTTAACTGGGCTTGGAATGAATCCGATTTCACAGCCTTCTTTAACCAGTCGCCCTATCCACCAGTCATTATTAAATTTCTAAACACAAAATCAGAAGTGTTAAAATCAGAAGTTCAAATCTTTGAATCTTTTTTTCTTCCACATTAACCATTTTCAATGGAGAGACAATGTGACAATTACAATGAACTATGCCTCAAATATCATAACTCAAGAAGCCCTTAGGTTCATGGGTTTAATGCGTTTGGTGTGTGCAGCAGTCCATTAAAGGCTTTACGCTTTCTTCTTTTGCTCCGTGCTGTCTTTACGATGGGGTAGAATTCTGTCACAGTTGCTGTTTTCACCATGAGTAGGACAGGCTCTCTAGGTTCAGAGATTAATAGCTCTTCCTAGTAAAAGACCATCAGGAACCAGGAAGAATTAGAGATTTTTCCCTTAAATAATCAGATTAACTAGAAGAATTAAGAGTGAGATAAATACAGGAATCTATCTGAAATATTTTGTGTTTGTAAAACTGCACAAAGGTAAATTTTGCTAACAGAATTCACACATGATTTTTCTTTATGTTGATGCTGATACTTTATCTCCTATAGGTAGAATATTTATCTTTAGTCTGTATAATTTAATTTCATTTTCCTCAACTGAATAAGTCCATTCTGGAACACTTCAAAAAAGAATATTCATTGTTTTCTTTTTCTTTCCATGGTAGAAAGAGATTGTCCTCTGAGCAGTATCCATCAAGAGGAGACCTTATGTTACTCTAATTTCTTGTTATAGTGAGGTTCTAGGCACACTACCACTTCTGAAAACTTTTTCTGTCTTTTCTATATAACCAATATTTTATACCTCTTTTATGTTACTGAAATGATGGTCTTTTAATTGGCACTTATTACCTCTTTATAATGTTTAGTACATTGATAAGTTAAATTTACATATGTAAAGCATTACACTATGACATATGTAAAATGCTCCAATTGTAAATCCCTCCAGATCCAAGAAAAATATCATGTGCACACACACAATATTATGTAGGGGGACTTTCTGTCACTTAATATAATGTCCCACATAGCAGGCATTTCATACATGTTTAGTCCAAACAAAATTTAAACATAAGGGTGAATTGTTCCAATTTGCACATTATATTGTTATTAACTGACAGGTAGAGACATATGACATAAAGGAAAATAATTTTCCTAATATCTCTTTCTTGCCTCACTGGCTCCAACTTCTGCCATTCTCCCTTTCACTGCAGAAATTTAGCACTCAAGGGGGAAAAAGGGCACGCCTAATCTGAGTTTTGACATTGTCAGCAGAGAAGAAGAGTGGTGAATTCTGGAAATTATTAAACCTTCCCCTGATGGTTAAACTTCAGACATCAGGAAAATCTACACATAGTCAAGGTTAAACCTTAAAAGAAAAAGTAGAGGTTAAGCGTAAAAAAGGATCATCTACTGTAACAATTCCTGATATCTGGGCCACAGAGCCCAAGGGAGCCCTGAAGTTATTGCCAAAACCCCTTGATTCCTTTCCACTTTAAAAATGTACATTTATATCAGAAAAATTTGAGGGTCACTGATTCAGTGTATGTTATACAACTGCAGCTGTATACTCAGGCTATTTCACAATAATAAGAAATGAAAAATGATGTTTCAAGGTGAAAAATTAAACTGATAGAAATTAAAATTATTTTCCTTACTTCCTTAACATGCAGAAAATCTTTTGCTTCAAACGAAATGGCCATGCCTGGCACTGGAACATCATCTTCATGGGCTGCACTATAGCTGACATTTGTCCGAACTGCAAATGCAACGGGTTTTGTCTAAGGAAGAAAGGAAAAAAAAAATTAAGGAAAGAAACAATCTTTCCCTTCCAATCTCCCCCATCAAATAAAAGACACAATGAAAAACTGTTGCAATCATTTTCTTCCCTGTTTGTTCTTTATCACATTACAACTTGTTTGTATCCCCAATGTATGAAATAGTTCTCAGCTATATACCACCCATTTTGAACTAGAAAAAGGCCATTGTTCTCTTTGAAAGCACTACAAGTAATAAAGGTGAAGATGATCTGAAATGAGTGTTTATAGAATAACAACTTATAGTAATTGGACATCAGGAATCACAAACAGGAATACAAATGCCCAGTTCATTAGTTTGGGAACTGGAAAAGACAGAGTTTGCCTCCCTACCCCTACTTTAAAACATCTAATATAATTAGTAAAGACATGATTTCTAAAGACATAATATTTTGACAAAGGATCAGAGAATATACGTAACAACTTTAACACTATTATTCATGGCTACAGGAAATTTTGAAAGTGGTGACCTTTTATTCTCTTTTCCCCTTTGAGTTCACTCAGCCACTAAAGATAATATTAATTAAATCATCCTTCATTATTTGATGTCTTGAGAATTTTCAGATAAGCAAGTACTGCTGATAGAGGGCAAATGCTTATCCTCAAGATGAACAAAGTAAGCAAGCTCAGAAAGGATGAAAAAAGGGTATTGTTCTAACTGGTATCTGTATTTCACATTGTGGACAAGCGGATGTTTTCTGAACAGTTTTGCCCTACTCAACCAGTGCCCATCTGGACCTGCCAGGAAGGACAAGGGAGAGTAAAGTAAAAATCTGTCTTATTTCTGAAAAATCCACAGTTAATCTGTGCTGTTACTGTCTGGGTTGGGGACTAAGCTAAGAGTCCTACTCAGGCCCACACTCTGTATATAGGCACAGTAGACACAAAGTGAACTGAAATATCTGACAAGCCAATTTTTGGTATCCATTACAAATTTTAATGATACAAGGGCTACTGCTCCTTAAGTCGAAATTTAAAATACATGCCTATATATGTGTATATATTTTTTTAATTTGTAAAAATAAGTATCACCCATAGTTCTACCACTGAAATTCTTTTTTAATTTTTTTTAGTTGTAAATGGATCTTTTATTTTATTTATTTATTTATATATGGTGCTAAGGATCAAACCCAGGGCCTCACACATGCCAGGCAAGTGCTCTACCACTGAGCCACAACTCCAGCCCCCTGAAAATCCTTGATAGCATGATGCTACTTCCATTTTTTTCTTGGAATTTTGCTAAATATTTAAATTTTATTCCAAGAACAATAATCATAATATGTTTCATTTTTATCTAGTTTTTAATTTGACATTTTTCATGTGACATATTTTGCTATATACCAAAATAAATATATAAGTAAATGTTTCCCCACATTTATTCCTCCTCTTCTAAGGCCCAGCACAAATCACTTCCTTGTACCATCACTATCTTTAGACTGAAATAATTAGCACCTCATAGAAATTAGTGAATCTAACTGACTTTTGTGGCATAAACATTTTGAGGTCAGTAGCCATTTATATTCTCTCTCATCTTTCTCTCCCCACTCGCACCCCCTATCCCTAAAAAGGAAAGCAATGTCCCGAGAGCAAGAAAAGAAGTCAAGAAACCTTGGCCCAACAGAGGCTTCCTGGGGACACAGAACAGAGGGGATTATGGCAATAGATTGAAAACTATGGGTCACTAATGAGGTGTTCTAGATCTTGAGGGAAGCAAAGCTCCTGCAGACCCCAAGACCAAAAGTAATGATGAGCTCTGAAATCTGTGATAAAACTGTCCTTCCTCCCACTCTCTATTCCAAGGTCTTCCAGGTTTTCTGGATGGCTAGAGGAAGAGGAAAGAAAGAAGAAAGGAATGAGGCAGAGGTATAAAAAGAAACACTCTTGAGGAGGGAATCAGACAGCCCTCCAGCCCCATTACAATAACTAATGGCTTGTTAACTATTATAAGTATGTGCCTTTTGCTAATCTCTCACTTGCTTACTCTAAAACCACCTAATCAGCCTCAAAAGTCAGGTGCATCAGTAAAGCCAGGAAATCCTCATTGTGACTCTCATGACAAAGAACAATGGTGAAGGAGTCACCAAAATAGCAAATTCCCAGGACTCTTAGCCTGTTGCTCACATGATTTGTTTCCTTCCCCCACCCTACATATGTGTTGTCCTGATAGCTGCAGCCACTCATTCTTATCCCAAGGCAAAGAAGATTCTACTGAGAGAGATGTAACATTTGGCTCCAAACTGATTGCGCTCCTCCAAGGCTAATGTGTGTGCACAGTGCCCACAAAGAAAACACCTTGGAAGATGTGCTCAAAGTCAATTAAAATTCCTAGATTCTAGTATATCCCTGTGTCCCTTCCATGGGAATAAAAACTAGCTATCTTCTTTGTAGGTCAGTTTGATACTCTCAGTCAATGCTGTATCTCCTGCTCAAGAAAGATGAAAGAACTACCAGTAAAGAGTCTTGTTCCTTAAAAAGCTAAACACCAAAAAAAGAAAGAAAGAAAGCCCAATCAATAAATGGGCCAAGGAACTGGACAGACACTTCTTAGAAGAGGATATACAATCAATCAACAAATATATATAAAAAAAAAAAGTTCAACATCTCTAACAATTAGAGAAATGCCAATCAAAACTATCCTAAGATTTCATCCCCAGTCAGAATGGCAGCTATTAAGAACACAATAATAACTGTTGGTGAGGATGTGGGAGAAAAGGCACATTCATACATTGCTGGTGGGACTGCAAATTGGTGTAGCCAATATGGAAAGCTGTATGGAGATTCCTTGGAAACCTGGGAATGCAACCACTTTTTGACCCAGCTATTCCACTCCTTGGTTTATACCCAAAGAACTTAAAAACAGCATCACTTCAGGGACACAGCCACATCAATGTTTATAGCAGCACAATTCAGGTGGGCATGCGCTACATAGCAAGTCAAATGCAATAGTCATTCATTCCCTCCTGTAACAGCATTGGATATACTGGCTCAATACACTGCAGTATCAGGATTCCTTAGCGTCCATCTGGGTGGCTCAACTGTAGAAGCTCGTATAGTTCTACTTGATGTATGACTTTTGGGGTGGGTTTCTTCTGATAAATGATTATACTTAGTCATAAACAGAGCAATTTAGTCACCTTAAAAATGCTGCTGAAGACCTAGAATGCCTGGCTTCACCACTTTCCTTCCCACTTGGACTCCAATTCTAATAACATTTGGTCTGAAGACCTGAAAGGATGATCCAGAAAAAAACATGTATTCAGAAACATCTATCCAACTTTCCAAGTTCTAGATGCTTCTGCTGACTCAGGCATTGCAACCCCTACCTTCAGGCCTTAATCATACTGCCATATGCTCCATTTCTTCTACACAGATGCCAGACTAGTCATTAACAGATGTGTATGTGAGAGGGCTGTCTGGCATGTCCATGAGGATATCTGTGGACAGCTGTGTGCATACAGGACTTGTTCCTTCTTACATCCAAAGGAAGCTCTGTTAGCTCTTCAGAGGCCTGGCCTGTGGAAGCCTGTCAAAGATGTGTTATAACAGGAGCAGTTTTATTTGCTCACAACCTTCTAGAATCACTAAGACTTTGTCTGTTTAAAAAGCTATCATTATAAAGAAAAAACAATTAACTTTAAAAATATCTCTGATCGTGAAGTAGAATAAACAGATTAGCACAAATTCATGGTTCTATTTCTAGCTTTCTTTCTAAACAATAAGTCAACAAGTAGTGAAACTAATAATTTGAATGAATATGACATAATGTTTACTTTAAGTTTACTAAAAAAATGTGCAAGTAGCAGAATATCTACCATTAAAAAAATCAAAGTGAAGCCAGGCGTGATGGTGCACATCTGTAATCCAAGTGACTCAGAGATTTAGGCAGGAGGATTACAAATTCTAGACCAGCCTCAGCAACTTGAGAAGACCCTCACTAATTTAGCAACACCCTGTCTCGAAATAAAAAATAACAAAGACAGAGGATGTAGTTCAGTGGTAAAGAACCCCTGGGATCAAGTACAGTATTAAAAAAAAAAAAAAACCCTAAGTGAAATTCACTTAAAAATTAATTTCTGATCATGATGAATGAATAAACAAACAAATGATTAATAGTTAGGCCAGGCCCAGTGGCTCAGGAGGCTGAGGCTGAAGAACTGAGTTCAAAGCCAGTCTCAATATCTTAGCAATGTGCTAAGCAACTTAGTGAGATTCTGTCTTTAAATAATATTAAACTGGCTAGGGATATGGCTCAGTGGTTAAGTGACCCTGGTTTCAATCCCCCGTATTTAAAAAAAAAAAAAAAAGTTAGTGTCCCATGTATTGATTCCTTAATTTTTTATTACAAAGATTTACTATACTATGCGAAATAGCAAAGCATGCATTCTCATTTTCTTTATTAAACAATATAAAAGAAACAATATACAATGATATATATTCTATTTTTCTTAAATATTAACTACTCCCAGCTTGCAATCTTTTTAAGATAAACTTTAAAAATATTACTCAAATATCTGTTAGACAATAGAAAAGAGGTTTTAAAAAATCTTAAGATTTTAACACTTATTTTTCTTATGGTATATCATAACTTCTTATAAAACTTACTCTATGCTTCTAAAATTTTACTCTATTGTATTTTTCCCTAAAACAGTCATATCCTTTTGAACTGCTAATTGCAGCATAATCTAAATCCATCACAGAACTGAGACAGAGTCTTTCTAAATTGCCAAGTCTGGCCTAGAAATAGCAATCCTCTTGCTATCGCCTTCCAAATTGCTGGAATTACAGGCTTGCCTCATGGTATTTGACCAGGATTTTTGATTATCACAAGTTGCAAAATGGTACTGAAAAGTTGTAGAGAAGGACTCTGTCTCAAAATAAAATTAAAAAAGGTTAAAGATGTAGCTAAGAGTTGAATATTCAGTTCCCGGGTTCAATCCACAATACAGGAAAAAAAATCCTTGTAATATAGGAA